CAGAATTAGTGCATACAAATTTTTTATTGCTTTTCATTTTCTACTTTAATTTTAGACTATTATTCACAGATTCTATTTTTTACCCCTTTCTCTCCTTAAACTGAATATACAATATAGTATTAATTTAGACATATAGCATACACAATAGGGATTAGGGAAAGGAATTAACTTCTAAGACATAATAGATTTACATTATTACAATCACATTTTTTAATTTCTAAAAAATATCCATTAAAAAAGCACTAGAGCATTTTACAGCAGTTATAATTTATGATAATGATATAAGTAAAAGTTACAAAAAAAAATTGTTTTACAGCAACAACAAACAACCAAATGTTTATGCATCTTTTCAACTTGAAAATTTTCCAGATGTTTTAGCTAATTTACAATAATTTCCTTGTCTTTAGCATCTTTTTAGGGCAAAATTTTTAGTATATATGGTGCACTGAGACATATATGAGAAATATTTTAATTTACTGGCGATTTTCAATTTATTTGCTTTCAATTATTTTCAATTATTTCAATTTATTTTGGTTTGATGCTTGTGTCTAGTAGAAAGATCAGAAAACAAAGGGAAGATAAGTATATTAAGTGAAAGATTTCTATGATCAAAAGGAAAAAATTCAAATAATTTTCTTTTCACTATTCTTCCAAAAATTCTCCAAAAGATAAGTAATTCATCCCAAATTTCCAATAAAACACATCCATTATGTATTAATACCATGAAACCACTTTTCATTTCATCACATTTTCGTCACAATTGTAGGTTCATAAATCTTGCCTTCAAAATAATAATCAGTACTTCTATGTTATAGCAGGCCCCAACCATATTTGGAATTTGGTGATTTTAAATTTGCACCGAGATCTCAGCTATAATTTCGCAAAGCTCATGAAGCGTGAATATAAAAATAAACAACACAATATATAATAATAACAATAATACTCATATGTTGTTTTCTATGAATATTTTTAAGAATCCTTATCCTTATTATTTTATCGCATGTAAGTGTTCCAGTCAACAGCAGTCTTTTCATAAATATTAACCTATTTGTTACTCAATTTTATGGATGTCAACTCCTCTGCCCAATAAAACATGAATCTAATAGTGGTGATGAACAACATTCTGGAACACTTGAACCAGCTTCTAACATGAAGGCCCTTCTTCTGTTTGCAATTTTTAACATTGCAACTCCAAATAGTTTCATTTTTAATAGTTTCATGTAGCCATTTTCGCATACTTGCTTGTCAGGTATGTTTTTATTATGTCCTCTTTCTTGAAAATCTCTCCTCTGTCTCTCTCTTGAAACCTCTTTCTTGAAAAAAATTATATGGCATCCAACTCATTACTTGGTAAATTAAAGATTGTTAATATCATATTCACACACAAAAACAATGAATATATTTTTAAATAAAAAATGCGAATTTGAAAACCTCATCAAAAATGAATGATATAAGAGCATGCAGTAAGAGCAAAAATACTACTTTGTGCTAATATACAATTATATTGTGAGGTACAGTGCAAAGTCTTTAATCCGGATGTCCATAATCCAAAATGATCTATAATTCGGACCTCAAAGCTACATACTTTCTACGCATGCACATAATACGTTTACACATGCGCGTTTAATGTATAACAGACGGTATAAGCTAGGCTAAAATTATCTAATTATCTATTTCAGTTAATGCTGCAGATTGCGTTGTTCCTCAATCTTCTAACTGGATCCGGCTTATTATTTTTTGCAGACTGTTAGAGCAATTTTATAAAAAGTAACCTTGAACTTTCCATTATGTCAAAAAGAGTTTCCAATTCTGGAGCTGCCAAAGGATCTACAAAGCAAAAGCATGTTTCAATGTCCATCAAACAAGAAGTGGAATTGTTGCAAAAAATGGGTAAAGGCATGAAGAAAGTGACAGAGAGATTTGTGAAAACGAAAAAATTTCGATTGACAAGTTAGTCGGTATTCTCGGCACAGCAATTACAGGACTTGAATAGCGGAAATTTGTAACTGAACAAGAAATTATGTCTGTTTACAGAATTAAAGAGAAAGTATTAGCACATGAAATGAAACAACTTAAACAACTTACATTGAAAGAAATGTTTAATAAAGCAAACAAATATATATTAAGCTTTTTTTTTTTTTTTTTTTTTTTTTTTTTTGTAAATTTTGATACCCTTTAGATCATAATTGCTCTTTTTTTCATAAATTAAGGTTTCATACTTTTAATTTTATAATTTCTGCATGCCATCTTACCAGATTTAAATTGATGATCTATAATCCGGAATCACCGAAGTCCCGATAAATCCGGATTAAAGACTTACTGTATAAGAATATGCAGCCAGATTTTGGTGAGATATCTGGGTTGATCAGCAATTCAATCATGGGGCCACTATAACAAAGAAGTACCTAATAATCTATAAATCTTGCCTTTAGATCTTCTTAGGTGCTAGGTCTAAAATCTGAAATAAAAATTATCTCTACCAACTCTGTAAGAGCAAAAAGCCTGAAGATTTTTGAAAAAAAAATTCAGAAAAGAGAAGGATAAAGTGAATTTTCAAAAGATTTCAAAAGAAAACTCATACGCATTTAAATATTTTGAAATAATTACATGAGAAAAACTCTTAACATGAATTTTTTTTTAAAAAAAAAAGATAGATGAAAATTAATTTTAAAATAATTACAACGACATATTTGTTTTTCTAAGAATTGTTTCAGAAACTGTGCAACTTAAAAACTGTACATTTATTACCTTATTTACTTTTCACAATCAAAATATTTCTAAGTCACCAAAATGGAAAGTAATGTCACTTTAAAATATGACAGGAGAAAATAAAAATATTTCATTTTAATGTTATTTCTTAAATCTAAACTTAACTTATTATCATTATTTTTATGATATTTATCAGTGTTATAAAAAAATCAGTAAACTTTTGTGAATCTCTGAATAAAAAATTTTATACAAAACTGATTTTGAAATTGCTATATTTAGCACCAGATAATAAAAGAACTGATATCTCAAACAGGGAAAAGTTGTTTTTGATGTAATATTTTATGAATTCTTATTTCACAAAGAAAGAATTACTTCAAAATGTTTAACTTTCAACTGAAGCATGTGCTTTTAAAACTCGAGCATCCACCATTTTTCATCAAGTAGGAAGAAAAATTTCAAACATTAACCCGCCAAATAGACATTTGTCAATACACTGCCAAAAAATATTCCTCCAAAATGTTAATTCACACTCAAACGGTAATCATAAAAAAGACAGAAATAGCAGATGAGTAAATTGATGGGTATTTGCTGGTTTGGGCCAAAATTAAAGACTTTTAAGGACCAAATATCGTTTCCAAGAAACCTTTTAAGGAAACTTTTTTTTATGACTTTTAAGGAAAGTAAAAACCCTGGTTGAAATAGACATAAAGATACCAAAACAAATATTTCTCTCTAAACTCAGCAAAGTTCTCAACTTTTCGGCGGAACTGCAGATAGTCAGGAAATACGGTACAAAGTCTGTAATCCGGATGTCCATAATCTGGAATGATCAATAATCCGAATCTCAAAGCTACAAACTTTCTGCGCATGCGTAAACACATGATGCATTTACGCATGCGCATAATATTTTCACACACGCCCATAATATGTTTAAGCATGCGCGTTTAATGTATAACAGACGGTATAAGCTAGGCTAAAATTATCTAATTATCTATTTCAGTTAATGTTGCAGACTGCATTTTCCTTAATCTTCTAACTGGATCCAGCTTATGTGTTTACACAAGAGCATAACACGATTACACATGCACTTTTAATGTATAACGAACGGTACAAGCTAGGCTAAAATTATCTAATTATCTATTTCAGTTAATGTTGCAGATTGAGTTGTTCCTTAATCTTCTAATTAGATCCAGCTTATTATTTTTTGCAGACTGTTAGAGTAATTTTATAAAAAGTAAGCTTGAACTTTCCATTATGTCAAAAAGAGTTTCCGATTCTGGAGCTGCCAAAGGATCTACAAAGCGGAAGCATGTTTCGATATCCATCCAACAAAAAGTGGAATTGCTGCAAAAAATGGATAAAAAGGCATGAAAAAAGTGACAGAGAGGTTAGTGAAAACAAAAAAATTTCGATTGATTTCGATTGACAAGTTAGTCGGTAATTTTCAGCACGACAATTACAGGACTTGAACAGCGGAAATTTGTAACTGAACAAAGAAATTATGTCTGTTTATAGGAATTAAAGAAGAAAGTATTATCACATAAAAACGAAAGCAACTTAAACAACATACATTGAACGAAATGTTTAATAAAGGTAAACAAATAAATATTAAGCTTTTTTTTTTTTGTAATTTTGATACCCTTTAGATCATAAATATGCTCTTGATTTCATAAATTACCCGTTTCATCATTTTTTTAATTTTATAATTTTCTACATGCCATCTTACCAGATTTAAATTGATGATCTATAATCCGGAAAAACCCTAATCCAGAATCGCCGAAGTCCCGACAAGTCCGGATTAAAGACTTTGTACTGTACCATACAATCTTTAATCTGAAAAAAAAAATAATATTTCTATCTGATGAGATAAATCATAAAAGAAAAAAAAGAAGCTCTTTACTGCAAGGCACTCAGAGTGCTACTAATAAAACGAGCTATATTCCTTTTAGTACTTTCTAATTCCTTGGATCTCCACCTTTCAACTGTCAGTAGAATAACTGTGTATTATAACAAATTATAATATTAGTGTGGTGTTTATAAAATGCTTCTTTCGATTATTATCTATGAACAGAACAATATCTATGAGTTGCAAAGAGAGACAAATGTTTTTCACAGTTGTTAAAGTTGCCAATGAAAGTGAGGATAATCAATAAATACCTTCTATTTTTATTTTATTTTTTAAGCACTGATAAATGATATCATTTTTTATATTCAAGCAATAAAGTGAACAGATAATGGCAATGTACAAAAACAAAAACAATATTTCTTTTTCATATAAAAATTTGACTCACCGCAGATTACTTTGACTTGGAAAGTCACTCTTTATTTTATCCAAAACTGTTGTACGAGGCAGTAACTTGGTCTTATTCGTTTTTTTACTTTCTGAATGATCCACAACCACAATTAGCCAATCATAAATCTTTTTTGCTTTCAGTTTCGTAAGCCAAGCATTAATATTGTCCTTAATAGATTGTTTGTAGTGATCAATGTCCTAAAATATACATTCCAGGAATAAAATCATGACTTAAAAATAAAAACAGAAGAAAATAAGATAATATATAGTTATAGACAGAAAGCAATTAAATTTAAAATTCTAATATGAAGAATTTTTGGTACTTTGGTATATTATCCCATTGACCAAGATGGCTACTATCAAATCAAGAAAAGTTGGTAAAGATCCTGCCAAAGTTGTGCCATCAACCATGCAGAGTTCTGAAGAAGAGTCATGTCTTTATTTAATATGCAATTAATATCTGGCCAGGGTTTTAGTCAATTCCTACTATTTTATTGGGCCCTCTGATTCTGCCAGAGTTTAGAATGCTATCAGAGCACACATCCTATTGTTCCAATACATTAATCCCTTCGCGCCGACTGTCACATATACATTCCAGCAATGAACATACTTATCTACCGGCCGACACGCAGGTGTGCCAGAGCATTGTGCGTTTTCTACCGACTGCCACGTATTTGTGCCAGTAACTTGGAACGTTTTTCAAACTATAATTTCTGCCACAAGATGGCACTGTATGTTCATATGGTTTCAGATACATGCACATTAGACCTTCTACTCGAAATGAGAGAAGCATGACTCACATACACGTGTTTTTGATTATATAAACAAATGGAGAACTAAATGTTTCCGAATGGCGTGATTTATGACGTCTCTTTAAATCGCACTTTATTCGCACGTGGTAGTTGTTTATTGTAAGTAGAAGTTTTATATGCGCTAAAGCGTTGAGTATTTCCCATTTACAGTTCAGTTTTTAGAAAATAATTAGATATTGTTAGACGTGAATTCTTTCTGTTTTTACAGTTTCAATGTCGAAGCGTCGAAAATGTTTAACAGAGCATGAAATAGCAGAAATGATGCAAAATATTTCAGATATTGATTCTGATATTCTGATATTGATTCTGAAAGATTAACTGAAAGACATTTTCCAAAACTTTGTTCAGAAGAGACTGGTAAGAAAATGAGACGACGATGCTTCGTTTGTTCACATTCCCGGAAAAAATCCTCCAAAACGGCAAATGAGTTATTACGAGTTCAAGGAATGTAACGTAGGACTGTGTGTAGATCCCTGTTTTAAAATTTTTCATACGAAAAGAGAATTTTAAGTAATACATTTAGTTTTCAGATGTATAATGTTAAAAGTCATAAATGGTGAGTAATTAAAATGTGTAAAATAGCATTTAAACAAGAATAAGGTAACTAAAGTATATATATAAAAATATCTATAAGTATAAGCCGTTTAAATACTCTATAGAGCATTATTAAACAATGCATTGATACTTCGGAAATTTCATGGATTTAGGCTTAGTAGCAAAAAAGCCCCCGGCCCTGGAGAGACGCTCGCAGAAGACACTGCCGGCCTCTGCGATAAGCACGCGTTTTCACTACCCGGCTCGAAGGGGTTAATGATTTGTCAGCCATATTCAGCTGACCATAATTTACCCATTAATACCTACTTTTTTGATGGCATGACTCCAAAACTCTGAAAATAATCCACAGCTTGTTATTCTGTAGAAGGCAAGTTCCAAATTTTAATTATTTTGTCCCTCAAATTGCAAAGAAAAATAGTCAGTAGTTGTTAATTTATACCCTTGTTCATAAAAACAAGAGATGGCTCAGTAAGGATTACATCAAACAAAAAAGTACAGATATTATAAGTGTGCTGTTGTATCATGCTTACCCGGGCGCTAAATCGCACTGCTTGGCAATAGTTTCAGGGTCAGTGGGATAATACATAAATATCAAACATTTTAAATCCTCCAAGCAACCAAGCATTTGGTCTCAAAATATTTTAACTTCCATGAAGGTCATGAGAAAAGGGTGTTTTCTTGACTAATTCTAAAATGTCCCTGCCACTTTATACCTACACTCTTCGTTTTTGTTTCTGAATACACAATTTTAATTGTTCAAACACCTTTCAAAATATGTATAAATGTAGTCAATTAAAATTATTTACATAATAATTAAACCTCAAATTTGTTGTCTGCATATGACCTGGCCAGCTTGAGATTTAGGCATACATTACTTTGAAAACTGCAATTATCAAATACTTGATATTTTTAATACAGTTTACAAACAAAAGAAAAAAACTAATTTGCACATTAAAAGACACTTTTTGTCCTTTTTATAATTATAAAGAAATTTAATACCAGGTGGCAATCATTTTCCATTCATACTGAAGCCAAAATGTTATCTTTTATCTAAACATTTGTGCCAATACATTTTTAACTTGTATTATATTATTCCTCTGCCCTTTTAATGGAAATTAATTTATTTGAATTTCCAGACATCTTTATAAAAAAGATGCGAAAACAAGGACTTCAAGTGATTTAAAAAAAAAGACAGGCTTCAAGTGAAATACTACTCATCAAATATACTCATCAGTACCAAATATAATTTATATATAAAATATACATTTCCTAATGCTGATCAACTATAATAAATAGTATTTATAATAAATCTACTCCTACAATATTTAAAGTAAATCCAGAAGTTGAAAATATGACAAGAATTTCTGGATTAGTAAAGAAGATTCAGAAGTTGTGTATTGTTCAATACTGAAAACTTCAACTGTACAAAATACAAAAATAAATTGCACACTAAAAGTCTGCATTACAGTAGCAACAAACTCTTCATCCTCAACATATTCTTTTAAGTATAAGATGACTATTATTTTATTAATTTCAATACTTTAATATGTTTTTAGTTTCTAATCTTGGTTGATCTTTACATTATGGTAACTTGGCGTTTTTTTGGCAAAAATTTGGCGACCAACTCTCCTACAGCAACCCTCTATTTTTTTTCCCCACCGCCATTTTGTCTTCACGAAGTAAAGACATGTTTCTTTTCTTTTTATCTACTGAACACTTCTTCCAACATCTACTAGCCGAATTACACTTATGCTAGAAATTTTATCTAACAAACTGCTTAATCATGACAAATATTCACTGCAAAATTGGGAAAAAGTGCACAATACCATACTCCTTACGTGTTTTTTCAAATAACATACACATAAACCATGTTTACAACGCCGACTTATTTTTACTTAAAAAAACATCCCAGAATTGCACAAAAAATAGCATTGCGCACACTCTTCCACTATATCCATGTACACTGCTTTTTCTCATAAATTAGAACATTTCACGAAAATCATACAATTTTTTCAATCTTTAAACCCGTAAAAGAACATATATGAAATTACCTGATCGCGAAAAAGTATTTACCCTTTCCAAATATGAACATTTCCACATATAAAATAAATAAAATATCCAAAACTTTTACCTCTAATCATCTATTATATTATAAACATCACCAACGAATTCATACCGCAAACATTACAATACTTAGTGTCAAATATTTAAATTATTTCCATGCACGTTTACTTCAACTTAAACATGTACCAAATTCCTACAAACATAAAATTCACAAAATAACTATCATTTAATTAAATATAATTAAATTCAAAACACTACTTAAAATATAAATAAGCACATACATTAAATTAATAAAATTAGCTTACAATCCTAATTACTTTAAACTAAATCATTGCTAATAACAATTTTCCCAATAATACCAAATTACTTTACTTCCACCTTACATTTAGAACAACGCAACGTAATATCCTCAAATAATTAAAAATACTAACTTACCTAATCTTCTTCAGAATCTTGATTACGTGTCCGATAAACTTTTCTTTAGTTACGGCCATGGGATCCAAAAATTCACAAACACTGTTTCACACAACACAGAATAAACCAAATACATAATTTCCAGATTTTTTCCCGATTTCCCCCCTTTTCCGATTAAAGAACCGTAATTCGTCCATTAATATCACATGACATATCCCATGATCTCTCATTTCCCTCACACAAAATAATGCGTAATCGGAACTGAGTACTGCTCACATTATTACCAAAGTCCCAGGTAGTAACCTTTATCGCCTCCAAAATGTCGCCAAACTACCAGTTACCATATTGTAAAGATCAACCCTAATGTTCTTCATGGGTCTCTAAGATTGACTAAACAAAGAAACAAAAACTCTCAGCTTTTTTCCAGAAACATTGAATAGTCATGAAAAATCAATATTAGTTTATATGTCCCACAATGAAATTATAAATCAAAGAGAACATATTATGGATGTGAAGGGTTGAAAATGTCAGAATGAGAATAAAAAAAACTGATTTGAAAGAAGTCAGATAACATTTATAACAGCTATATGCTTTATTTATGGTACCTCTTACGAGTTATCACATATAGTTACATTCTAAGTCATTATAAGAAACTTTTCTGAGAAACACATTTCTTACAGCACTAGTTTGAACAGAAGATTTTTAGCTAAAATGATTGCTCAGCTATCTGCTGTATGTATATAATTGAAACATTTTATGGGACTGGGGAGGGGATAGTTTTTAAAAGAGAAGAAACAGAGACTATGCTTCTGGAAGTTTTCAAGATAAGTCAAACCAATCAGATATCCTGGAAGTAATGACTTTCTTTCAATATGCAATTGAGAGGAATTAGCATATCTGACAGCAATTTTATGTGCTTACATAAATTTGATACCTTGATGATGCAGTTCGGTCATTTTCTACAAAATGAGAACTTACAGTTGCCAAAAAAATATTACATAAATATTTCACATTTTAATTAGGCATTTATCCCAAAAATTAATTAATAAATTACTTACAAGCGAGTTCTTTTGTTTCTTTTATTCTGGTGGAAATTTCATAATGATCACATTATGAATGGATATAAAGCAATTGTTCCCTTTAACAAATTTTGCAGCAAATGTATATATATCTGTAGAAGCAATTTTATGGCATGTGTTTGTATTTCTGAAAAAAATTTGCAGCCATTTCTTCCCTGCAAATCTTGCAAATACATATTTTAAAACTATGCAAAAAGTGTTATGATTTTCCTATAAAACCATTAAGATACAAGAAAAAGAAGGCATTTGAAAATGGCCACATTGGCTAAATCAAACTGAAGAATTGTTACACGCTTGGTTGTCAGAGTTTGGCGCATTTTAAAAATTTGGAAACTTCTTCAAAGATGGTTGTGTTAATATGTGAGTATCTTATTAACCAATATGGGTGCAAAACATTAATATCAGTCAATTTTTTGTCAAGAACTCTGAGAACTGATAAATTCATTATAGATGGGAATAACCTGGTAAATTTCCATTACTGAAATATGCAGACAGAATAAAATCCACTAAAAACTAGACTGTCACCACAGTTACCTTGCTATCAACGGAAGTTTCTGACAGCAGATAAAATACTGGTACTGATGATATTTGCATTGCAGTAATCAGTGTTATTTCATATGATCATAAAAACATGAAATTTTATTAGTAATAGCACACACATTGATTTCTATTAGAAGAATTTTAAAACTTGAAATTTATGATTATCTTATACAGAAGAGGGAATAAAAAAAAAATTGTTTTTACTATTTAAAATTTTAGGAAATATTTTAACATTATTATTTTATATTAAAATAACTTCTAAATGAGAAAAAATAATATACTATAGTGTAGTAATGGATTTCAGACATTATACCTGACATTCAGTCCAATATATATGAAAAAAGGCTTGCCCTAATAAACTTTTAGTTCCTTCATCAGGCAGTTTGTCATCGGAAAATGGCACAAAATTTGCAGTCACGTAAACAGTTTTTGGATTTCTCATATGAGACCTATAAATCAATTTATTATATTTACATTCCATATTCATTAACACTAGTATCAATACAAAGAAATAAATTTTATAATACTAGTTTTGAACTTAATGACAAAGAAACTGATTCAAACAACAGGTATATATAGTAAGCACAGAAAAAAAGAAAAAAAAAAAAAAAAGATAATAATGACAGGGTGCGTGTGTGTGTGTTATTATGGCAAAGACTCAAGGGCTATCTGACTAAGGGGAGGACTTTCTATGGGAAACTGGCTTGTATACACGTTACACATGGGGAAAACCAAGAAAACGCCCATGCAGTCAGCCCATTCGCAGGATTCGAACCTCGGACCGAACTATCAGTGTTTAATGACTTTACCGCTCGGCTGCTGGTGGGCCCTAATATGACAGGGAAAAAACACTAAAGCATTATTTTTTACAATCATTTTTTTATTTATAAGTAGAAGAGAGCAGCCATAGAAGTAAATTAAGTGTATTCCACCAACACTTCTTCATTAACCACTTGCGCTAAAAAGACGTGCCATGCACATCGAGATGCTTTTGTCTCAAATCGCGTGCAAAAATAAAAATAACGTTGTGCACATGTCGCCTAACAACAAGATTGTTTATTTCTCAAGTTACAGCTCTGGATTGCACTCGCAGATGCGAAGCGGCATAAATGAGACATTTTACCACTTGTTATATTGTAGCCCACAGCAACGCAACCGTGAAGTTTAGTCGTAGCGCAAGTGTTTAAAGCAGCCACTGTGTTTAGTCATCAAAGTTGGAAAAGTTAATGTATAAATTTCAAATATCAGAAAGAACCATGAAATAACCACTTTGAAAAGGAAGAACCATTTTACCTTTAATGACAACTCAGAAATGAAAGCTTAAAATATGTTTTGAAGTATGTATAAGACAATGATTATCTTAAGACTGCACTTATCATTTACATGAATAATACTCAAATGTTCATGTAAATGATACATGAATACAAGACCATGAAATGCTCAAATGAGATTACCATCAATATTTTGAAAATTAAAAATACCAACCAAACTTAGCAACAAGAAGCTTGAAAGATTGATAGACTTAGACTATCTAGCTCATATCTGAGTTAACCCCAAAATGCACATAGTTGCCATTTGGCAACATACTCATATTTAGTCATGTAAATCAATTCAAAACTCAAATTTTAGCTTACTGCATAGTGTAACTAATTGGATGGCGTAGCCCGCATATGGTCATAGGGCAAACTTTGTTTTGCAAGGTGGACCTAACAAAACATACTGTTTACATATATCGTTTTTGAAGTTTCAGTATGGTGTAACGGTCACTATTGCGAGTGGATGCGTATGGTGTGGACATCATTTGTGTTTACGAATTTTTTATTTCGTGTTTGTTGTTATTTTTATATATTCGACATTTTAAAATTGTTTGAACAAGTTTATAAGATATGTATTATTACATAAAATTGTTGTTACACATTTGCCTAGCCTTTTTTTCGTATAATATAGCCATTTGGTAACTATAATATTTTTTCAAAAATTGGAATAAAAACTTAGCTTCGTTTTTTTTTTTTTTTTTTTTTTTTTTTTTAAGTATTTTTCTATTTTTATTTGATATCAATTCTAATTCTAATGTAGTTTTGACTTGAATTAAAAATATAAAATTAAAATTAAAATTCATGCATATAAGGGTTAAAAGAATGAATGATAATTTAATAATAATAATAATAATATATCTAGCTCATATTTAGATGGCTGATCACCCAGGTTTGTATGATGTTTCATTTAATTTTCAATAAAAATAGCTAACGTTTCTAGAATAAAATCAGGAGAAAGTTCAAAATTTCAGCAGTAAAGAAGAAACTGAATATGTTTAAATATACTCAGAAACCTGATTTATTTGAGAAATAATTAACTACATAATACACAAAAGATCAATCTATTCAAACAAAGGAATAGCAATTTTACCTCTTTCTATTAGTCTGCAAAATGACTACACAAGCCAGTACACTGAATGCATAATAATAAAATTTAATGATTTAGAAAGGAAACATTTTAAAAGCACACTTTGAGATATAAATTCATTTTTGAACATTCTGAACTATATGGGTCATTTAAATGAAAGTGGCATTACAATCGCTTTGAGAAGTGGTTTAATGATATCTATATAAATTACTATACAAAAGAAAGAAGTAATACAGACGTAGCAAATAGGATAGATAAGTCACCTTGTAGGTTGAAACAAGTGTCCAGCTGTCAACGAGATGTGGATACCTGGGTGAAAAAGCTCTGGGGTTGGTTGTGGAACCAATTTTCAATGGCAGCTTGGACCTCATTATCATCGGCAAATCAGAGATTCTTCCCTTCAGAGATTTCTTGAGTGGACCGAAGATGTGGCAGTGACACAGGGAGAGACCTGGGCTGTAAGGGGGATGTTTGAGAACTTCCTAGCAGCATTGCCGTAACAATGTTTGACAGCCACCTGAGGAAGAGCATTACCATGCAAGAGGATAACCCTGCATAACAGCATGCCATGTCGGCAGTTCTTGATATTCTGTCTCAGTTTCTGTAATGTGGCCATAGGCAGCCATTCCAACAGTAGTGAGCCATTGACATCAAAGAAGCACGTTAAAATGACTTTACCAGCTCTAGTGGATGTGTGAGCCTTCTTCGAGCATAGGAATGAAGAAGTGTTGCCATTCCATGCACATGCTTTTGGTGGCACCATGTTTCATTAGCAACAATAATCCTTGAAAAGAATTTGTTCCCCATTTCGTAGTACCGCATAAGGTGTTGCATGGAAACAGGCATGTAATGAATCTTCTGGTCCTCTGTCAAATGTTTTAGCACCCACTGAGCACAAACCTTGCAGTATTGCAAACTTTCTAGCAATATTGTGTGCAAACTTCCTATGCTCATAGGCATTTCCTCGGATATTTCTCGAGTGGTGATCCGCCGATTCATCTTCACAAGATAGTCCACATTTGCAACTGCTTCCTGGGTGATCACCACATGTGCTTGACCAGGTCATGGCCTGTCATCTGTACTGCTTCTTCCACTATGAAAATCCCTACACTATGGGGATACCGATCTGCATTTCATACACTCCATGCCATACACATTTTGCATTCGACAATAAATTTCAGAAGCACTCACATTTTCTGCTGTTAAAAATTGCATGACCATGCATTGACATTGTTTGGAGGCACCCATAATGTGAACAATGCCTTTTAACGTGCTCCGACGCTATCCCACATACACCTGGAGGAATCTTATGATATATGCACTCCCAGCACTCTGTGTCTTCTATAGGGGCATGCACAGTCATCTTTCTCTTCTAATGGCTTGAGTTATTACAGCAGTGCTACTTTCATTTGAATGGCCCTTATAAATTGATATTAAAAGATCTTTCAAACAATAAATTATTTTAACATGATAAAATACTAAACCTTTTCCATTCCATAGATTCTTCAGGTAAGCCATCTATTATGCCTTTCTTTAAATTATTAAAAAGTTTTTCATCTCCAGCACCTAAAAAGCAATGTTTGGTATCAAATGCAAATGCACTGCAAATTTTGAAAACTTTTTTTTTTTTTTTTTTAAGTAGTGTATACATTATAATTTTGAAAAGATGTTTTATTGCCAAATGAAAGAAACCAACACATTATCTTTAATTAAAGTTGTTACATAATAAGAAAAGGAAGTTTAAATTTCATGACAAAAGCTACAAATAATAGAAATTTAACTATGTGATTGCACCATTGTTTAACATGTTGAGCACAGCGCCGGTCCCTAGGGACCGGCAGCAAACTTTCCATGTGGCCGGCATCAGTCCCTGGGGGCTGGCAGTGAGCTTTCCGTGTGGCCGGCATCGGTCCCTGGGTACAGGCACAGGAATTTTTGTTTGGCTGGTGTCGGTCTGCGGGACCGACAGTATTAAAGTTAAAAAATAGATATGATCAAATTTAGTTTTAATGAAATGTATTGAAACATTCTAAACAAAAGTACGGCTTAGCTCGCAGCCGGCTGAAAGGAAAGGACTGCAAATTCGGCGCCACACTCAACCTGTTAAATACAAATCAAGTTCATTGATAGATTTATGTGGAAAAGCAATATAGCTATTTGAAATCTTAATTTAGACAAAATTCAATATCAGATTAACAGTTGTTAATTCAATTAAATTTGTAGAACTATATAAAGTTAATTGTTTTAATTTTTGTGCTAAGCATTTTATTTACTGAAGTAACAGTATTTTTCCTGGGAAAAAAAAAAAATCTGAATTGGTCTATTTAAATGGCATTTGGTTCATTAAGACTCAAATGTTCTAAAAAATTTAATAAATGTGACTTTAAGCATATATTGCATACCATACAATTGATCATAGAATTTATTATGCAGCAATGGTAGGGAAAAAACAGAACAGTACTCATCAGTTATACCTAGTTGCATATTCTTGATGATAATGTTTCGGTGACAAAACATCTCCAACCAAATTGTGAAAATATTTATCTACTGTTGCATCAAATATTCTTTCAAAAAATCTCTAAATATAACTGAACTATTGGTCACAGTATCTAGCTTCCAGCACAATTTTTCTGGTGTGCACATTTACAATGCAAGAGCAAAAGTTTTACAAGCATTTTTTTTTTTTAGGGGGGTACTTTTGCATAGCATGCAGTTCTTTTTAAGTAAATTTGAATTTTTTCAAATATTTTGTTGCTTATTTTCACTTTTGATATTTTGTTTTTCAAGCAGCAAAACATTATCAAAGAATATGTGACCAAGTATAACAATAAGTACCTAAAGAACAACTAAAATTTTAAAATGAATGTAAAATTTTAAAAACTAAATCTTGTTACCTGCTAAAGTAACATTAAAATCAGTTTTAGTCTAGCAGTTTTACATAAAAATTATACATTTTGAGAGCAAAACATATAGTTTTCAATATATTTTAATTTTACGGAAATTTTCAATGAGCAGAATTATTTTTACTCCTTGAAAAATTTCATAAGCCTACAATTTAATATTTATTCAAATTAAACTTTTAACACACAATAAATTTGAAACATCAAGAAGCATAGACAGTCTCAACTGGCTATTCATTATGCTAAAATTAATTTTCCTTTTCTGTAAAATCAACCTCAATCTGAAGTTGAATGTTGCCTTTAAAAAACTAATATGTAATTAACAATGGCCGGAATTTTCACGCACATACTGTAAGATCAGTCATCAACTAAAATTTCAAGCTAAGAATTCTTTAGTTTGGATATTTCTTCACAAATTTTACAAATTAATTAGTATTATTATAATCTACATATTTAAAAACTACATTCTTTTACATTTTGTGTTTAGTCTCAAAAGGTTTAATGTTTTAAAAGCTTAATAGTTCAAAATGTTATTATGACATTTATAAACTTTAGATTTTATGAAATATTTTCATGTTCTAAATGTTTTTACAAGAAGTATATTGAATAAATATTAGTTTAATCTTAATAACCTTTTCGAAATTACTAAATACTATAAAACATTTAAAATGTAAATATTCACCAATTTTTGTATGAAGAAGGAGCAGTTAAATTACATTAATAAAATGCATTTCTATGTAGACCAGTTTCCAAACATGAGACTAACTGTTGTAGAATTGTAACACACTTTTTTAATCATGAACCAGCATTAGAATTAATATATTCCAAAGACTTGATGAAAACACTTTTGTATATTTAAGATAAAAAAGTCTAAGCTATAATAACACCAAAAACACACACTTATTTATCTCAAATAACAAACAAAAAAACTGAAGACCAGAATAAAAATATAAGCTAAAGCACTTTGTTTTAAATTAAATTTCTGACAAATATTTCATTTAGAATCCCATAATGCCTACAGTCCAAACAGCTGCCTATGCAAGCCTACTTCTTAATCCAGTTAATAGTTTATTAATATATCATTTATGGCAGGTTTAAAACATAGATGATATAAAACACCAGTTAAGGCGCTGATTTTTAGAGGATGCCTGCTAAGTTATTCTCATAAACCAGAATTAAATAAACATACGCTTCACTTGAGTTATGAGTATGTTTGATTTATATGAAACAGCAACCATATTGATCATTTAGGCCACCAAATATGCTGAAGCCATTAAATGCTCTAGCACCAATCATTTGCAAAACACAGTTCCCATTGCTTATTAAACTTCCTGGTTAATAAACCCAGCAGCTTATTGCATTCAAATTTCCAAGAACCAAAACAAATATATAATAATCAATAGAAAATTTGCCATTTATTAAACTTATCTCTGCCATTTATAAAACTAAATAAAGTCTGACTGTTCAGATCCAGAATAAACTGGTTGTAGGTGATAAATGCTGTTTGTATGTAGTAGTTCATTCATTTATCTTTCAGTTATGTAGTACTTCAATAAAACAGGTTTAGCAGATATTTTGGCTAACGTAGTTAGAAACAAAACCCCCTGGGGTGTTAAGTACACTTCTCTATCAGACACTGTTTGCAAATCTCTTTGTCTGGACTAGAACTGAGAGAGATTGAACACCTTTATCTTATGATTGACAAAAGTATAACTTATGATAGAGTCCTCCTTAGGCATTGGAAACTAGTTCTTTGATTATAAATGAATTAGTGTCTCCCACAGCTAAAGAATATGTGGTGCTTAAGTGAATACTGGTTCCTTTATCCAAACACCAGTTGATAAAGGATGGATGTGGAGATCGATGGATACATAAGGTTGCAAGGTGTATCAGAAAAACATCACAAAATGCTTCTTTACATTTGATTAGTCTTTGATTAGTAAAGAGGAATGATCTCTGTAAGCTGAAAGAGAAAGAAAAGAAAGCATTAATTATGCCTATAATAATTATACAATGAAGGTTGACATGACAGACAAAGGAGCAATCTCTCTATTGGCAAGAAATGGGAATTTCGGATTTAAGCAAATCATGGAAAGAAACATTTTTATTTGCTGTGCGCATGACTTGTAACATGTCAGAAATGCCTAAATGAAATGATTCATTTCAGAAAGAAAAATATAGACTGCTGAAAGATTATATGTTTGGTTTTGGTTTGTGCGATTGCAGCAAAGCCTCGAGGGTCATCTGCCTAAGGAGAGAGATGCATTCATGGAGGAATTTCTAAGAGAAACTGGCTCATATACATGTTGCACATGAGGAAAACCATTAAAACATCCATGTAATCAGCCCGTTTGCTGAATTCAAACCTCGGACCAAACTACCAGTATCACTTGCTAGTGGGCCTCTACGATATGTTTGGTAAATGCAGCCATAGAGAAGCAGCTTTTAAGGGGCTTTAAAAAAAATTGTCTTAAAGAAATAAAATTGATAAAAATATAGTAAAAAGTACAATGACTCAAGCATGTACAAAAGAAATGGAAAACTGAGAGAACTGAAACTGCTCTTCTAGAATGGTTTCAAGCTATTAGTTTAAAATAATGTTCTAATTTCTAGAACTCTTTGAACCAAAAATGCTGTAGAATTCACTATAATGCTAGGAGAATATTTTGTGCCAAATGATAGATAGCTCACAAGATGGAAAGAGAGAAATATCATTGTTTATCAGAAACTACATGGTGAAAAGCAAGGGGCAGATCATCATTCGTCTTAGAAATGGATAAAAGATGTTTTATCCATTCTTCTAAAAGAGTACAAGCCACATGAAAGTTATAATACAGACGAAACTGGTCTGTTTCACATGCATTAACGGAGCACAAATTAATGTTTAAATGTGAAACAGCAGATGGTTATAAGAAATTTAAAAAAAACATGTTACTGTGTTATTAAGATGTAATATGGATGTAACAAATAAAAAGGTGCCAGTAGTTGCTGGAAAGAGTAGAAAACCTCAATGTTTTAAAGGAGTCCATAATTTACCTTTAACTTACCATCACAAAAACTCATGGATGACACGCAGTATTTTTACTGCTTTTTTTCTGAAATCGAACAGAAAACTGAAAAAAGAAAAAATAGCTTTTCTGTTAGATAACTGTGCTGCATACCCATTTGATTTCGTTCTGAAAAATATTAAATTAATGTTTCTTCCTGTAAATATGACTTCAAGCATTCAGCCATTAGACCAAGGTATTATAAAGGCTTTTAACTGTAATTACAGAAAAAGTGTCATTCAAAAAGAATAAACATAATTGAATCTTCAGAAAATGTAAGCACTTCAAAGAAGATAACTAAATCGATATCTTTGATAGAGGCTATGCATATTACAGTTAATGCAAGGATGCAATCTCCCAAGACACAGCTAGAAACTGCTTTAGAAAACATGCTTTTTTTATTTAGAAGCCGCAGAGGAACTGCAAACTAATATTTTGGATATCAATGAGGGAAAGTACATAGATAGCAATTGATTGTAATAAAACAGCATGATAAAACACTGACAGTGATGTTATAGAAAGTTAAAAGAGCTACGAAAACTGAAACTAACAGTGGAAGTGATATAGAGGAAAGTGATTACATTAGTTACATTAGGTTACATATACAAACATATATTAGATTACATATATTAAGATAGTTAACTTTAGCTGAATCAAGAAAAGCACTGCACATTCTAAGAACTCTTGAATTGGAAGGGGGAGATCAGAAAAGCTACCAACAGTTTTACTAGCTTGAAAATACAACTCAAAGATTGTTGACAAACAACAAAAATACAGATAGAGCAGTTCTTTATAAAAGTTTAAAATTTCATCAAGTATGTAATTATAAATTTTTTTTACAAGAAAATAAATTTCCAAGTTTCACAAAGTTTGATTTTAACATTAATTTTTAATTAATAATTTAGGTATTAATTATTAGATTAATTGTTAGTTACTATCTAAATACGTTCAAAGTTGATACCATAATTTACAATATTGAAATCACCTTTTATTAAACTCATCTACTTAAATAATAAACTCAAATATGGTCAGAACAGAAGTGATTTTAATAAACGTCAGATACTGTATTTATTTACTGATCACCATATAAGCAGGCAAAAAGTTTTTTAAGACAATATGAATCATCACCCAAATGTATTCATTATCCAACATGAGATATTACTCTAGAAATTAAACTTCAATAATAAATAATGAAATTTAAATTCCACAATGCAAACATCAAATAAAGCTACATACAATAATATTTTCATAAATTCTCTCAAAATATCCTTGACAAAAATTGATGATATAATATCCAACTGCATTTTTAGCATATCTTTCTTCACCACAGAATGATCGCTACACAGTTACCTTGAAACCTCTGGTAAATCATATATACCATTAAACATGAGCTAATTAAACATGAGACAGCACAAGTAAAGTATTTTCCCTCCTTTTTTATGAAAGTTTAATGATAAATAAGCTTGTACACTAAAGTCATAAAATTATATTTCTAATAAAATCGTATATATAGTCAGCACACGATATTTGGAATCATGTTTTGTTCCTTAGATCGAAGGGGCGGATATATAAGAAAAACTAGAATAAAAAAAGCACAGTTGTTGCAAATAATAACATAACTAACTGCAGCTTTAATAATTTTGAATAGAAATATGCAGAATAAAGCAAATGTCAGCTAATTTCAAACGTATTCTACATCAAACCCTTTTAAAGATACTTGTTTACATTTTAATTTGATGAATTAATTTGAATAACAGCAAAGAAAGAATGCATACATGTTACTACAGGCCTGCTATCCATTTTGCATATTTACTGTATATATCATAGATATAATTTTTTAAGAAAAATAATTTTAAGACATTATCTTATTAACATGCTCCTAAATTTGATTTTGCAGACGAACAACAAATTAAATGATAACTTAAATGCTGTTGCCAAATTGTAAATAGTCAATATTGATAGAGATATTAAATGCTGTATTTCATTCTACATAGATCATAAAATTGAAATATACTTCTAAAAAGTATATACTGTTTTAGAAGTATATACTAATATAGTCGAAAGACTTTAATATATGTCTATCTGCAATTTAATTTCTGAAAATTTTGTATTAAGCATTGTAGTATGCTTACAACTCATCTCGTGTATCATATGAAACCAGACGATAAACCGCTGACCGCATGGTTATGTTTTTTTAAGTTAAGTGTGACGAAGTTGATTAAACTTTAAAATATTCTCTCGGTGAGTATTGGAAAGGGTACGTTCTTTTTTAAAGTATAATCTATGGGAAAGTTAGTTTCGTTGTATTTTACAATTTTTAATGTAAAATATATTATAGGTTTTTAATGGACTCTTTAATTACTTGTTAAACGTCATGTTATAATCTGAGTGCCTTAAGCAAAATAGTTATTTAAATTTTAACTTTTGCTTGTCAAAAAGATTTAATGTCTTAAAACATGTATTACTAATTTTTACGTCAAAATATTGGGTTTGAAAATTAATACATTTTCTTTGCAGTAGAAAATTACTATTGAATTACAAAGTCGGGGGTAAAGTGCTGAATCACCCACTTATTTGTTTGGCGCTTTTTACAAGAGTAAGAAAATTGACAAAAATTTTTGTCAATTTTCTTTGACTTTTTAAGTAAAAATAGGTTGATGTGTGCATGGATAAAGTCAAAGGAGTGTGCAATTTCATTTTTATGCAATTCTGGGATTTTTTTTTTTTTTTTTTTAAGTGAAAATAGGTCGATGTGTACATGGATACCGAGTATGTGCAATTCTTAAAAAACGTGCCAAGCAGTGGGTGATTCTGCACTTTTCCCCAAAGTCATTTGCAATAAATATGGAGCATGACATTATCGTGCACTGAAGTAAAAGACATCTAGAAGTCATATGGAATTCGGTACAGTTTTCTTATAATTTGTATTGTTTGAAAGTTTCGGCCACTTGAAGAAAGCAAATGTCAGTAGGCATTTATAAAAAGAGAAGTATTCTTTAAGTGGTGAGTTAAGTTTTCAGTTTAATAAAATGTTATTCAAAATTTGAACGATTTCCCAACAAAAGTAGTCTTCAGGAACTGTAATACTGGATACTAACAATTTAAAGCCAAGTTTTCATAAGCATGTGGAATCTGATCTATTGGATGTAATGGCTAAGTTGCAAGAGAGAAAAGTCTTTTGTTGAAAAAGCTTATTAAAATTTATGAGACATAAGAATTCTAGATTATGGTAGCACTGAAGAATAGCAACTGAAATCAATAGCAATAAAGATTTTTGAATTTGAAATATAATTTTGAATCTGAAAAATAATTCTACATTTTAGGAAATGAAATGTGGGCCTCTAGCTGCTATGCCTGAAAGATTCATATTCCTCATCAGTATCCATATTTAAATCCTTTTGTTATGTTAACAGGTTTTAAATTTTATTGCTCATAAGATGTTAATTTTAAATTATTTTATTCTCGGAAAAGTATTAGTAGATGGTAAAAGAACCAAAGATAATTGCATCTTTGAAAGAAAACCACTTTTAGTCTCAAAATTTTTTATGACAGTCATGGAAATTAAGAGTGATTACTTTTATGAGACATCTTATTTATCCCAGAAATGAATATTTCATGTCTTTAGTTGCACAAATTATACTAAAACAAGTTGAAATTGTAATTAAAATTTATTTCCATAACCTTCTTAAAATAATTACCTGCATTTCCATCCACGTAAAGTATTTTTCTAGAGTCTGTAAGATATAAAAACCTTCAATAATTATGTAATTTGAGGAGCAGTAAACTACATTGTATGCATGTGCCTTCCCCCGGGTCGACGTAGAGAACTCTGCGAAGCTATTGGCTAGAATCTGTACCTAGGCAGTCTCATCTATGGGGATATCAAATTTATGAACCTAGTGGTTCTGGAGGCCCTGGAAAATTTATGAACCAATGGTTCACTCATTAGCTGGCCTGGTTGTCTGGCAAATCCTAGAGCAGTGTGGCTCTTGTAGCCCGCGTGTTAACCCTCCGTGTTCGCTGGATAATTTCTCCAGCTGTGACTGGCAAGTAGCAAATCTGATGACCAGTGTCACCTAAGGTGATGCGTCCTTCTCTCTAAGGTGCGAGGGCGAAGGTCAAACCTCTGTGCCTGGTTCTAAGGGGCGAAGGAACTCGTAGTAAGGTCAAGTCTCGCGGAATGAGGAATGCCCGTATCTTATTATATGCATGTGTAAAAAAGTATTCATTTCAAAACTTATGAAAGAAAACAAAATGTGAACTAATAAAAAAAAAAGGTCAATGATCCATAAATCTATCAGACAAAAGTGTAAGAATTGAGGCATGATATCCTATATGTTGTAATTATCTTATAGGATTGCACTATATAAGTGTATAAAAAAAATAAAATTTGCTTTCATGTGGTAAATGTTCAAAAAGATTATTAATATTAAATTTATATATTAGGCCTTTGATATATTTAATGTCGGTGTGTCTTTCAGATATATACTACATAATGGAATATATAACAGATGAAGCACCTACGAAGAGTGTGGGCAAAATGTAAGAGAAAGTTTTCCTAGAAAATCGCTGTGCCTAATATAGCTAAGGTTTTCAGTTATCATATCGTATAAATGTATAAAGTATTTATGTATTTAGTACTATTCATGTCCATTTTTTATTATTTATGATTATTTGATGCATTGTGATTTATTACTTTTAAGTTGGAGAATGTAACATCTAAGACATTCAAGTACCAGAAATATTTACACCTGTGCTTTCTTGTTTTGTAAAGTTATTTAAAAAAATTGTTTAGTTAATATTCTTGTAATATCCTAGCTAAAATAGAGTTCTTTGAATGGTAGAATACTGAAGAAATATGTAGCAACTGTTCGCTGAGTTCTTGTGCATAAGTAACGACTCTGGAGAAGGGTTAAAATACCCTTTTTATTCTAACTCAAAATATATTTAATGATAGCCCCCTCTCGGGCATACAAGAAGCCTCCACTTGGCCTTTAACTCAAAATAGAAAGTATTGAATTAATCTAATGCTAAATAAAATTAATCAACCAAAACTGCACAGAATCAAACCTGCAGAGTTGACTCTTGATTAAGAATAACCACCGTATACTTATATTAAGTATGACTGTAGAATAGCTATAACATGGCCGAAAGACAATACTAAAGTAACTCAGACCTCAGTTTAAGTACTCATTTGTACCTTATTTGCATAAACTGAAATACTGAAACTTCATTCTGGGAGGAAAACGTAGGTAAAAAATTAGAAGGTGTACGAAAGGTGTGATCCAAAATAAAAATATCTATCAGGAAAATAAAGTAAAATCCTACATTCTCATTAATAATTAGTTTAGTAACTAGATGCAAATGATAGTAAAAGTTAATAATTTGTGGATTTTGGCCTTGTTATTAGGAAAAACATTTGTTCTGAAATATTGCTTAAATAATTATTAATGGAAGAAAAATGGGTACAACTCTGATATATGCCCTAATTTCATCAAATGTGGCGATATGTGTTCTGCGCTGGTTTTTGGCGTGATTGCGTGTTGTATGGCAACCCTGTTGACGTTGAAAAGTCTTTCACTGGAGTTCGTTGGTTCCCGTCATGCTTTGTGTCTGAGAAGCTAGGGGGGAAAGATTTAATGGTGAAAGTTGTTGAATTGAAGTTCGGCATAAGGAAATATCGTCGTGGTCATCCTGTTGAGGGGCAATGGGTATTTGGAGGTGTGGAAAGAAGGTATGGGAGATTATTTTAGTGGTTGTGCATGATAGAAGTAGGGATTTGTGATTATTTGTTATTTTATTTATTTGTGAACCATAGTATGAATTTTCTGGATAGTGTGTCTGGCTGTCATATAAATACGATACTAGTGATTACGTGGCGGCATGTTAAAGGCGGTATAAAAATTGGTATTTCTCTTCTTCGAAAAAGCATTAATGGTAAGTGCATTTTATTTTATTCTTGTTCTTATTTTGTAGAATGTAATGTTCATTGTTTTTTTAGTATGAATTTCTGTCGTTATTGTTGTTTTTTTTGAATTGTTTGAAAAAATTTATTTTAGTTATTTGTTGATTAGTGCGTACCATCTGAATTCTGCAATTCGTAGATGTTTTTTAAAGTTGAAACGGAACGCTGTGTACATGGTATTCTTTGAAATTTATTGTTGTTATGTTAATTTATTAAAGTGAGGTGCGCGTAGTTCGTAAATTCGTTTGTTGCCTAAATTGTGCAATTCGTAGATGTTTTTTTAAGTTGAAACAGGATGCTGTGTACATGGTATTCTTTGAAATTTATTGTTATGTTAATTTATTAAAGCGAGGTGTGCGTAGTTCATAAATTCGTTCGTTGCCTAGATTGTGCCATTCGTAGATTTTTTTTAAATTAAAACATATCGCTGTGTACATGGACTCTTGTAAAATAATTTTGGTTAGAAACTTAACGGTTTTGCTACCTAAATTTTTTGTTTTTGTTTCGGAATTTTAGCTTAAATTGTGTGTTCAAAACGTGGTTTTTGGAGACATTTTAGGCTTAAAGTTCGAAATGTAGACAAAAAATTTAGATAGCAATATGGCAGCGTGGAGTTTCTCGCCAAAAATATTTGGCGAGAAATTTGCCGCCTTGGGGGCGCATATCAGAGTAGTTCCGAAAAATGTACTAATTTGAGCTATAAATTAGGCAGATTTCAAATTTAGCTGAATAGGTGTAAGTTTTAAAATACAGGTGATGTGACAGCAATGCATATTACAAAAGAGCTGGCAGAATTTGGAAGCAGTAAAATATTTATAATTTAGTGAAAGAGCAGGTGGCAATGATTAGGGGTAGCAGATGTTGCACTTAGGGAGGGTGCAAAAAGATCTGTTGCCAGCTGTAGTGATAGCTGAAATGTAAGTCAACACATTTTTCAGCTTGGCCTTCCTATGCATGATCATTTGAAACCATTTTATCTGAATGAATCATCCGTGCATGATTGTTGAAACCATTGTATCTAAATATGGATAATGGAAACGTGGACAAACTGTCATCTCACATGTTGGTCGACAGTATTGGCTGTCTGTGAACATGCAGTATTCAACGTATTCTGGTTTCATACTCGCACTTATTAATTTAGAATAATAAAAGACCTATAGTACTAATGATATTACTAATATACTACTAATGATATTGTAAGTACTTGGGGAAGTTGCTAGTGTAAGAAAGTGTTAAGAAAATGAATAGTTCTTTTGCCCACTCATCTTTTTAGAATTAAACTAACACATCAGCATATCTCATAAGTACAAGGTACTTATGAGAAAGTACAAGGAAGATAAATACAAAGGTACAAGTGATAATATATTTTGGTGAAGAATATATGATTTTAAAATGTCATTACTTTCAGTTCTGGCATCTTAAAAATATTTTGTTTTGGGAAAATGAATAAGATAACAAATGTTATAAAACACAATTTCTGAAGCACTTCTTAATAAAAGCAAAAAAAGTCCTTAATTTTTTAAAAATTAATTCCATCTAGCTCCTATTTTTCATAAGACATTTACCCCCCCCCCCACCCCCCAAAAAAATAGTTGCTTCAGAATATTCAAATGTGTATCAGTTTTCTCATAAAAATTAATTCACTTTGCATTTTTCTTTTCTAAATTTTTTATTTAAAAATCTTCTGGCTTTTTGCTATTACAGAGTGGGATAAATTTTAGATTTAGCACTTCAGAAGGTTTAAGAAATTCAAAATAAGATTTACAGAAAAATGTGACAAAATGAAAAATATTTTCATGGCATGAATGTGTAAATGAATAGGTTGTAGAGGAAATTTCTAATGAATTTCTTATTTTTTAGAAAGTTTTTGAAAGAACAGTGAAAGCAAAGTTATTTGGATTTTTTACTTTTGATCCTAAAAAGTCTTTCTATTAACATGTTTATCTTCCCTTTATTTTTTCATCTTTTCATTAGACCCAAGGTGGAAAATTAACAGAAGTGGTTCTAATCTTCTCACATGGACCAACATCTGTACATTTTTCTATTAATAAAGAAATTGAAAACTGACAATTTAAAAGATTCATCTTGTATGCCTCACTGCATGATACACAGGGGTAGACATTTTGCAACCCCTCTATCTGTATGGGTCCTGAATTGTCTCTGTATCATGCCCAGTGTCTGTCCTAAATTATAAAAATTTGGCTAACCTTAATCTGTAATCTTTAAATTTTGTTGCTCAGTGCTTCACTTGTTTCTAAAATCCTGCTTAATTGCTCTGGCAATTAATTTATTAAGTTCCCTCTGCTGATAGTTCTTTCTTTAATGGTCCTTAAAAATCTTTAAAAACCCTTAATTTCTGTTGGCTACAATGTGTACGAGCTCTGGTCTTGGAATATATTACATGTGGATATAAAGAAAGTACTGTGTTATTTGAATGAATGTGTTGCAGGTCTCCATTCTTTAAGTAGCATGGTGCTAATCTAAAATATAACTTTGATTAATTTTGAATAATTATTAAATTACAAATGGATTTTTGAAACATATTCAGTATGGATTGTGTTAAAATATAAAAGTATTATCCCCTTGTATTGTGGCAATGTATGTAATTTTATGTATTTTGTACTACATATAGTGATGAAACTTCCATGGTTATAATAGGACTGATTGCATTACAAGCTTCTGAAAAAAAAAAATGCCAGATGTAACTTTTTCTGTTTCTAAATATTACAAATTACTTAAATAAGTTTTAATTTTTAAGACTTGGTGTAACCTATAAGTTAGTTGAAAGCATTTGTGAGTTAAAATTATTTGAGAAGAAATATTACTGGCAAAATTTATTAGTAAATGAAGAAATTCAACATAAAAATAAGCACAAATACATAAAAATAAGAATTTTTCCATCTGCAACTTTGTTGGTGTTTTGATAAAATTAGACTTAACTTCAGCAAAACACTGCAGTCCATAAGAATTTTTAAATTTGGTACTTTTCCATTTCGCCGGCGGAAATCTTGCCAAGCAGACTTTACTGACGACAACATACAGTACACACATAACAAATGTTAATTCTGAAATTTTTTTAATTTTGAAGGCATAAACATTTTAATATGGTGTAAAATTTTGTAAAAAGCCAATAAATGAAGACAATAAATTTGTAAAAAAACATTAATTTAAGAATTTACTATGCTTTCATGGTTCAACATCCTGATTTGCCGGTTTGTATCATGTGACCCCAAGTGATCTCATCTCACGTAAACTATGCTACAAAAATCTAATTTTCTCTATAATTATCTACATTAATTTCAAGTTAAATCTTAGTTTGGAATACAAGTTTAAATGCAAGAATTATTTCAATTTGTACGAATAGCTTACTCAGTAAAAACTGTACGTAATTGTATGCCAGTATTGAAAGAAACAGTCAATCTGATAAGAAATGGCTGTGACTTGTTTTGAAAATGAGGCGTAAAAGGTTACCAGCGAAGATATTCCGTATGGCATCGGTTGTACCGTTATTGGCGACTTTATCGTTTGCACTGGCAAAACAAAAAAGTACCTTAAATTTTTATGTTATTTATACTATTTTTTTACGTTGAATGTCTTCACTCATTTTTTATAATTCCATACATTGGGAGGAGTGCCATATTTTTTAATCAATTTGATTTTCAAGTGACAGAAAAAAATAATTGAAATACTCAAAAAAGAAAAAGAGAGAAATAAATGGCAAATAAATTAGGTATATTTGTTAGAATTACTTTAATGGTAGCCTTAATGAATAAAATAGCTGAAATTGTGTGGTTGAAAGTAGTAATGTTAAAAAAAAAAAAAAAAAAAAAAAAAAAAAACATTATAAAGCACGTAAAAAAGTCTGCAAAGTGTTGAATATGTTGATGAGAAGAAAATTAACAAATTTCTTTCTGTATGCAAATGTATATTTTGTAAAGGATGCTCATCAGCCAAAATATTATATTTAAAGCTCTTTGAATTGCAAATTACTAACTTGTTATTCAGATAAGCCAGGGCTGATTCCAAAATTGGTCCATCTGCACCAGTCGGCAGAATTAAGGGAAGGCAAAAGTTTTAGAATGTAGAGAAACACCAAGCAACAGAAATAAGTGTTGGCAAAATCTTTTGAATTTAGAAAAGATGCTTGGACTCAAAACTTTTAAAATTTTGGAACAGAATTTAGGACATGCAGAGACTTCCCCAGACCATGAGATGTCAAATGATATAAGTATGTGTGGGAATTTATTTTTGCGGGGCCTCAGATAAGCCTTAAACATGTGCAGGAAATAGACAATAGTATAATAATGAAATTAATATAATTCAGTCTTAACTTCATCAGCATGCGATAGAATCGAGAAAATTTACCTCAACAACATGTCGTTAGTTGACCATCTCATGATACATCATCAATAGTATATATCAGGTGCAGTTTACATTTTATGCTGACAGCTGCGATTTTTTAGGTTTTTGGATATTGCAAACAAAAAGTGAAATTTTCCAATTAATGAAATTTGTGGAAAAGTGGTAATGAATGAAGATGATGTGACACACATTTTTCATTGTGATGGCAATGCCCTAATCATCAGTCAGTTAATGGATAGTGAAATCTGTAGTCTAATCTGTAGTCCAAATACAGAAAATATCGCTATCAGTAGTCAAGAAAGTGAGAGTGGTTGTTGAGAACAAAAAAATTTCAACAGACATTTTGTTTTTGGAATTCTTGACACAGCAACTATAGAATTTAAAGTATGAAACTTTGTAACTGAACAAGAAATCATGTCAACAGAATTAAAGAGAAAATCTTGGCACAAAAAATGAATCAGTTGATTTAATGTTAATTACCAAAAGCATTTTGGAGTGTCATGAGCTGTGTTTTAATAAAAGATTAATCCTTACATCTGTTCTTTTTCTACAAGAGTAAAAAATTAATCCTGAAATACATTGAAATCTTAAGAATAGCATGGTTTTTTAATACAGCATGTCATTAAGTTAAATGTGTTGCATTTTTGTATCATTAGATATTGAATCTGTTCTTTTAAATGTTTCATATTTTAAATAAATGTGGAAGTATTTTGATGGTATTTAATGTCATTTTGTTGATTTCTGATTGTTATGTGAATGTAACGAAGTGTTCATAAGGCAAAGCAGTAGGTTGCCAAAATAGTTATATGGCAACTCGTAATGTCACCAAAAAGTTTGTATTTGACAGTCCAAATATGCATGTAACACATGTCTTGAACAGTGCACAAAGCAGAAATTATACAGAGCTGAGTTTGTGCAATTCTCTTGATTTTTTTTTAGTGAAAATTGCTGTGTGCATGGGGAGTACAATATTGCAAAAAAAAGGATTTTTTGAAAAATATATGTTTCTATTATCAATGTTTTATCCTGCTTTTTTAATTTTATTGATTGATAGTTCTTGTATTAATCTTTAGCATGCTGTCATTTTGAAAATGGTCGTTACCTTTTAAAAATTACCGTATTTGACGGCATATAAGACGCACTTTTTTTCCTAAATTTGGTCTCAAAAAAGTTACCTGCATCTTATACGAGAAGGACACAGTCTTAAATTCTTAACTTTTTGGTGAAAGGGTGCAGATAATCAGAAAGTACTGTCAATTCTTAGACCTAGAATTCGTATGAAAGATGTTAAAGGAAAAAAGGTGGTAGTTGATTAATTTGTATGATAATCACATTAATTATGCACTGTAATTATTCTTAAATATATATAATATGTGTAATGCTTTCCTTGTATGTATAAAAACTAATTTATATATGGTATAATTCATGTTCATATTTTAATTATAAGAAGTTATGTGAAAAAAGCATTAGAAATTATTTGCAAAAAAATTTATTTTATTCTTCTAGATTATGTTGTCAGTGTGGAGCAGTTATTGAGCCTAATCCTGCCAATATGTGTGTACCTTGTATACAAACTCGTGTAGATATAACTGATGGAATTCCTAAACAAGTTGTCATTTATTTCTGTAAAGGCTGCAATAGGTATGTATTGATATTATGCAAACAAATAGGGAGAAAAGTAACTTCAAATTATTTTTAAAAAATTAATAGAACCTTCTTAGGAACTTTACAGTGTTATGAATAAGTTAATAACTTCAGAAGGTACTGCTATTTTCTGAAAGTAAGATTCAAATTGTAAGATATTTTGTAGCTTTTTTAATCATTTTTTTTTAATCAGGCATAAAAGAATGAACAATTACTCCTCTCAGGAGTCTGCAACTATATGATTAATCGTAATATCACTTTATTAACAGATGCTGTGTGTTTTAAATTTGGCCATAATTATTTTTAAATATTTGTTTACTTACTACTATTATTAATAAAGATCTGCTGCATTGAAATTATTTTTACTAATATCTTTGTGATATCTAAAATTACTAATGAAATTAATAATTTGCATTGCTGTATTAAGTTGAATTAAGTATCAGTTATATGCATGACAAAACTGGAAATCATATGCCTAATCTTGTTCATTCTTCTACTTGTGTTATGTGTATTTATTTTCTGCATGTAATGTTCATTAAGCATGCAATTTTATATAAATTAACAGTATTAATTTATCAGTTATAGCTAAGTATTTAAAGGTACCCACATTGTATTTTGTATCTAATGTTTTGATAAGTTATTTAGATTTTGATAATTATGCTTTTAGTTTAGGATTCATATGGTCATTAAAAGTCCTTAATTTTGACCAAAATTTCCAAATTGTTCTTAATTTTTCTCAGCTGGTATTTACCTGAAGTAGTCTCCTTGGGACGATCTGAAAATAGATAAAGAGCAACACATATGTTCATGATGCTATTTTAATAGCAAGGCTGTAATAATAAGGAAGTACCTTTTTGTGTTTTTCGTCAGTCAGAAGTATAAAAAATTTCAAAAATTATTCTAATCTTGTCATGTGGACAGGCATCTATGGAAAGGAATTTCTCTGTTATGAAGATATTGAGAACTGACCATTTAAAAGATTCATATATTCAAGATGTATATCTGTATTCACATTGTATCATTTTGTAAAATTTTCTAAAATTATTTACAGTATTAAAATTGTTAATTAAATTATATTACTAACTTCTGCTATTTCTAAATAAGTGCAGATTTTTAGAACAATGAAAAATTTTTAACTTACTCATAAAATTCAAGGATCAGGCAAAAGCTTTTAGAAAAAGAACTTTATTGCATAAAAAGGCAAAATTTTTCAAAAGAATGTTGTTGAAAATGTTAACAAATGAACTGTAGCTGTTGATGCAAAGACTAAAGGCCCGTTTCCACTACTGTGTACGAACGCGTTGCGTCAATTGAAGACACGCCTATGGCATCCGTACCAGCATTTCCACTGCTACGTATCCTTAGATTATTTTCATTTTGTGCCGCTAGATGTCACTGTAATATTTTGCCGCCAAACAACAAGTTTGTGAATTACAACGCTGAACATTGGAATTTTTCCTGCTTAAACGAGTATTGTTTGTTTTGGATTTGATATGAAACCTGACGTAAAATGCAGAAAAGTTTTGTTTACTAAATTCCATGTTATTGTAATTTTTATTTCTGCTTATGAGCTGCAAAAATAAAGTACGCTAGCAATTTTTAGATAAGTGAGGTTATAATGCATATTATGAACATCACTAATTGCATAGAAGCTTATATATTAATGTGTATTAGTGTATCTAACCTTATATATTAATGAAATAATATATATATTATTAAAACTAAAATGTACTGTTACTATAAAAATAAAAAAGTAAAACTAATCAAAAAAATAGTTGGTACTTTAAAAATACAAAGCAACTGTAAAGCAAGGTTCATAATATTTACACAAAATTTGCTATGCTTGTAATACTGCTGACTGCCATGTGAGGTTGTATATTTTTAAAATATGCCTAAATTTAGGGAGAAAGCAGGTAGTATATAAAATTTTAGCATCGATTTCTTCAGTGGCAATGCTCAGTGGCTGGAAGAGAGCAATATGGTAAAGAGCAAAGAACTGCCTGTCCAAAGAAAAGTGTTGGAGGGGGGTAAGCTTAAGTGAGCCAAAATAATTCTTAAACAAGGTTAAGGTGGTAATTAAAGTTCATAATTATTATACACTTTTTTTTTTAGTTACTTTCCACAGATCACAATTTAGTTATTATTTAAACCATTAACTTCATCCATTGGGAGGTATAATAAATTGGTTTTCTTCCCTATGTCCTTCGCATTTTTCATTGATGATAGATTGTTTTTAAATATTTGGTTAACATTCCGAAGTTGTTTTTAAATATTTGGTTAACATTCCGAAGTTCACTGCCAAAAGCATTTTGGAATTCAGTAAGGATTTTGATAAATTCTAATATCTCTGCAAAACTGCAATTGTTCATGATAAAGTTAACACTAGAAGCAGCATTGTTGCCATTGGTAGGAATATTATTATTGGCTGTGGAGTCAGCGAGATAACTAGGGTTGGAACTGGAATTCACAGCAGCAGTGTCAGGAGTAAATTTATTCTGAGACGAGTTTGCAAGCCTGGGCATAACTAACTCCTGCTTTCACATTTGTAGATTTTCTTAGTTTTCTGTTAGATGGGAATTTCTCACAACCCCTGCATGATGAGGGGTGGCCTTCTTTGGGAACTTCAAGTCTAGTTTTATCAAAATCCTTAGTTTTATGAAAACTGTCACACTTCACACACCTGAGGACTACATGACAATTTTTGCCGGAATGGTGCCATTTCTGGCAATTAAAATACTGAGGAATTTGAAACTTGGGAGGCATATTTTTTAACTTTGATACCATAGTAGCATAAGTCGGTAAGTAAATAGATATTATCAGAAATTTCATTCTTAAAGATCTGGGCCTAAAACAGAGGCATGGGTGCTCTGGACTTAAATTTCGTCAGTTGAACAACTTTGTGAGCTTTATAACCTCTTGTTTCGAGTTCGCATTTAACTTCATCTACATCTGAATCTGTGGGCAGTCAATAAGATTAGGATTAACAACAAAGTGATCAATGTTATTGTCTAGAAAATATCTACTAAGTACTCTGTGATCTATATCAGTGCGTGGTAAAACGCGCATGAATTCTCCGTTTAGTCGACATACAAATTTTGTTTCAGGCAGCTTGGCTGCAAGATATTTTTTGAATTCAGAAAATTTTGCATTTTCTGGAGACCTAACCATTATGGGAGGGATAGCAGGCTGTGCTGTGGTAATAGCCTGCTGCTGCGAGTTACTAACTCTATCAGCAGCATCTGCATTTTGCGGAGCGTTAACATTATTTATATTGCTTAAATTAACATTGCTATTATCATTTACAGTATATATATATATAACACTAGTAGAATCAAAATTAGAATTAAGACAATTGGCGATAGTAACAGCAGAGTTCAAAGCATCAAATCTATTTGACGTATCAATATTAGTTTTAGGTTTAGATTTAAGAGGTCTAGCTGTTTTAGTAGGCTTCTTAAAGCCTGCTCATTATAAGAAATATCAGTAATAATTCCCTTACGTTTACTATTAACTATTTTCCTAGAACCACATGCTTCTTGGTTAGGCTTAAGGCCCACTGCAAGTGCACTTTCATTACAATCAACAATATTTACCTTATTTTTAACATTAGAGGCCAGGTAGATAATGCGCTTACCTTTGAGTATTCAAGCTTTCTTTTCACCACTTGTAATCCTTGCATGAAAGGATCAGTATAGATATCAGGATCCGTAACCTCTCGTTTAGCACTAAGTCTTTGGTAAGTTTCTTTAAGCACTGCATAATGATTTTTGAGATGACTTATCTGTTGGTTGTATAGTTCTAAGTCCTTAAATTCATCGGTTGAATCCCATTCATTCAGAATTTTGTCACTAAGTTTTTTATCCATATTCACATTAAAGTCCTAAGTATTCGTAATATCAGAAGAAGTATCCAAAAACATTGGGGCCGGCCGCTAGGTAAATCACTAGGTAATGGCGGAGGTTCGTCGGCGTCCGCCGCCGTATGCAAGCACTCCATTGAACAGAGGCACTGTGGGGAAGAGCACAAGAGACACACAATCTTCACTCTAGATGACTAGCGGGCGAATTTCAAAACTGGTCAATAATTTGGCTATCTTGTTGCTGAGAATGTTGCCCAGGCAGTGACTGCATAGCATCTAGAAGGAAGGGTAAGTTCCATCTCTGTTTTTGATGGAGAACAGCCTCCAGAGGTGGGCCCAGCAGTCTCCCACCACATTTTTCTACCACTAAACTGTATGAGAGGATTTTTAGCTGAATTTTAAATGTCTCCATTGTAGAAAAACACTTATATGTACCATGCCTTCTAAATGTCCAAGCATAGGCTTTTGATTCCCATGTGACTAAGCTATCATAGCTGCATTTTCAAGCTTTATTATAACAGTATTTTTTACTTTATCATAGCAGTATCTTTCATTTAACTTCATCATAGCAGCATCTGTAAATTGTTTTTATAGTTATGTTAGCTTTTGGATTGTATTTAATAATAATGCATTCTTTATCTTGTTCTTTTATTCTTAGAATGGTATTGCAAAATTGAAAATGGTTTGCATACACAATTTCTTTAATTTCTTCAGTGCTATTTGCTGAGATTTCCTTAATTTTTTCATTGGTCGTCCATAAAAATTCTTAATTGTCCTTAATTTCCAGTTAAAGAAATGTGTATGAATCAAGTAATCACTATGTATCTATAAAGTGTGTAATGGTAATCATATTATTAAATTTTTAACTATTTATGCAAATAAAAATGTTTTGATAATTAACATTTTGAAACAAATTGTATATCCATTCTTTTCTTAACAGATATTTACAACCTCCAGCTCAGTGGATTTCATGTGCCTTGGAATCCAGAGAACTTTTATCATTTTGTTTAAAAAAATTAAAAGGATTAAATCAGGTTTGTTGTTATTTGTCTTGCATATAAAATAGATCTAAAATATGTCTAAAATTTTAATGTCACACGTTTTAAAGAACATTGTCAAAATTTCCTAGTGTTGCATAATATAAAATAATATAAAAAGCAATCTGGACTTAATTTAAATATCCGTAATTATTCAAAACTATATTACAACATAAATTTAAATATGAGCAAAAACTTTATATGAGGGGAGAAGTGTTCAAGCTGTTAATTTATATAAAAGACATTAAACCAATGTTTAGGAATATGTTACTTTTATTTAATGATAGTTAATAATAGCGTACATTTATCTTTCAGCATTGTAAGAGAATTATATATGTGACTTAAAGAATCTTAGCTATGTAACATTAGTTCACTTTGTAAGGTATTTCTGCTAATTGCTTATTTTATTAGTTTGTTCATTTTGACACCGCTATTAGCTTCTTCACTTCATCCTTAATTTTTGCACTTCATTGTATAATAGCTTTGTTTGTATCTACTTGTATTTAACTAAATATCTGTATGTATTCAATGTAGCTGCTAGTGATGCAACGCTGTGTAATATTATTGGGTGCTTTTTGGTTGAGAGGGCACAATTTGACACCAAGACTCAAAATGTATATAGAGATAGGATTTGAAATCTAAGTAATATATACAGTTTCATGAAAAGAGAACGCTGTACTATTAAATCAAAAAAAGAAAGAAGCACAAGAATTCACAAATAAGAAGATATGTAATTTACCTAATTAACAGTTTTTAAGGGACTTATTTCTAGTTGCAGTTGGCAGAATTCTACTAGCGTGAGTTATTGTCATCAAAATTTCATAAACCAAGTAGTTATCAGAAAAGGAATGCACACAGCAGTTTCTGCTGCGCAAACCTCTTCTTTTTTCCCCCCTCCACCACATGATTTGTCGTTACAGTTCCAATTCCAGGGCTTCATTAGTAATAAAATAGAATTTTGTTTTATGATGTTTGGCACAAAGCATGGATCATACCTTTGTCTTGAAAAAATTTAGTTGCAAATCTTCATCATTTGGCAGTTTGATAATTCATACTAATTGTATTATTATTTTAAAATAGAAAAAGTCAGCTTCACGGAAAATGCAATTGAAAATAACAAAAGAGAAATTCTAGATTTAAGTTCATTCATCTCTCTTATTCATGATGTCATTTTGTAGCTGCTCACAAGATAAAATAAGCTGGTTGACACATTGTTGATAATATGCTTATGGCACTTTGATGCAGAATCGTGATTGGCATCCTGTTAACAAAAAGTGCCTTTTATTGCAATGAAAATGTAATTTAAAAGTAAATTACTTTTTAGTACTTTCTGAATAACCACTTTGTATTGATACCTTAACTATTTTATTTAAAATTTTTGTATCCTTGCAGGTTAATCTGGTTGATGCTACCTTTGTATGGACAGAGCCTCATTCAAAACGCATAAAAGTTAAACTAACAGTGCAAAAAGAAGTGTTTGGTGGAGCCATCTTGCAACAAGTTTTTATTGTTGAATATGTAGTCAATACACACATGTGTGATGATTGTCATAAGAGTGAATCGAAACATTTTTGGAAGGCTGTTGTTCAATTAAGACAAAGGGTTTGTTCAAATTTGTTAAATTATCTTTCCTACTAATCTATTAAAATCATTTTATTTTTAATCCATTCAGATAGCATTCTTTGAATTTTTTATGGAGTTTAGATGTGATATTTAATTTGTATAAGTATGGTTGTATGCTGTAAATAGCAATAAGGTAGTATGGTGTAAAATTAACAAATTTTAGATAAACTGTACTATATGAAACAAATATTACTTTGATACTGTAGGTAACAATCTTTATTAAAGATATCATGAAATATGTATGGGATATGATAGTTGTCATTGTTGGAAATCTCTATGAAATATATGTGGCAATGTCCATGATACTTATCATCTATCATCGTTTGAAATTTGTATGATATATCTGATGGATCTTCTTATACCATTGCTTGATTTCTCATCAGATGATAAAATGCCTTACATATTTCTTATAAAGTTGGCAGTTATTGTCATCAATCTCATTATTTACTGTTTAGCTGTGTAAATAATAATGTCTGCTGTCACTATTACATATAATGCTGGAAGTTCTGTTTCAATCAAAGTCATTGAAATAGCTTTTATTCATAATATTTACTATGTGATTCATATCATGGGAGGAAAATAATTGCTTCATATACAGTGTTCTTGTGAACTATGGAATCATTGATGTTCCTTCAAATAGTAAGTCAGGATAAGCAAGAAAAATGCACAATTTATTATGAAAATAAGCATAATAAGTAGCACATACAGCATATTATCTGGAAATAACTTAAAGACAGCATATATATTTTAAAGTCCCTCTTTAGCAAACGAAATACATTGTGAAGGTTCTCAAATCACTCTCAGGGTAAACCTTAAACTGTAATTCAGCAAATTGCTAACTCACTGCTTATTCTGAACTGAATTCTTTGTAATTTTTGACCCATGCTTATACTCTATCATGGACTTTAGAACTTTCTGGAAGAATCAGTTGTTTATCTTTGAAAGTGTGTTTTTGTGAATCTTCCAGAAAGTCTCCAAATATCAAAAGTTGGTGACAAAAATTCTTGCTTAGGAACAAATTTGTCTATATCTTGCTTTCTAATTGAGCTATTTTTATAATTCCAATGTTATTGTACCCAGAATTAAAGGATTACATTTCTGTGCTACAAATAAATACTTAAATACAAAACAGGAGGCCACAAATTAGATTAAACACAAAATAAACTCCTAAAACCATTCAGTAAGTAAAACAACACAAAACACCACAACAGTAATTTGGATAATGACGAGGACAAGGATTTGAATAATGACAACAGAAACAAGGAAAAACTCGTCCCTGCAGCACTTCGTCAATAGCATCTGGGATCCTGAGATACAGAAAGGCCTGAGAATAGCAGATGTCAAGATCTAAAGAGAACTTCAATGTATTCCTTAAAATTTGAGGCAGCCCAGCCACCTTATGGAGATCACCACCCAGTCACAGGTACTCGAGTCCAGGAGCCAGTGGATCAAGTTTCTGCTCATCTAGATGAAGGCCGCATATGAAAGAACTGCACATCTCAAGACAAATGAAGACCGCTCTCAACAAGAAGGTGGTTTTGGTTTAGCTGATTACTGCAAAGTGCACTATAAATATCTTCCTAAGCGAAGGGATGTCTTTCTAAGAGAAACTGGCTTGTGTACATGTTGCAAATGAGGAAAACCGCAGAAATACCCGCGGAGTTAGGCTGTTCACCCGGTGTCAAAACCAGGTTGAAACTACCAGTGTTCAGCAATTTTAACATTTGGCAATTAGTGGACCCCAGCTAGAAGGAGGGAAACTAATTAGTGCCATCTGATAGGGTAGAGGTTACTGGATATTGAGAAGCCCCATTTTAAACTCTTCAGATTTCTCCAGTGAGTGGTGGCAGTAGTGGACTTTTCATTATGGGACATATAATGGGGTTCCTTGCATATAACTATCAATACAGGAGCCAATGTTACTATCATCTGAAAAGATTTGGCTTAACAGTTGGAAGGTAAACTCATCTGCACTCTGTCCTGTATTACCTTCCGAACTGTATCTTGTGATAAAATCAGCATTGATGGAAATTTAAACATTAACATCACATTTAGAAGTGTCGCCTACCATCATAAGGCAAATGTGGCAGATAGTACAGATCCTTGCATATTCGCATTAGAATTTCTAAGGAAATTTAGTTTTCCGTGGACTTTAAAAATAGTGAACTACATTTTGCCTCTGAGGACATAACCTTGTTTGGAATTAATAATAAAGGAGTCAAATCCATCAACCAAATAATAGCTCAAGACAGTATCACAATATCAGGAAGAATAGAATTTTAACTATCTGGATCCCTAGCTGAAAACAGAAATTTCCTGTACAGCGTAATAGAATATCCTAAGAGCTGTATCACCCATGCATTGTGTATGTAAAGGCCACAGTTTCCACTGGCCCATGTTCATTAATTTGGAAACTGCTGTTAATACTGCTGGACAATATTGAGTAATAGAATGGCCATCATGAATGCAATTTCTTTTCCTCTCATCTGTAATAGTCACTTGGATACTTCTATACTGTAAATGATGCCATATAATCATGAATGATGAAGGGTAGTTTAGGTCACTGCTCTTCATGCTAGTCTTGCAAGAGTTCCATCTTAACCTTCTTAGGTTTCTTAGTGAGATACTTGCTGCTTGATTGTACCTTTCATGACCCACCTGTGTCAAAGTTGTTGGATGCCACATTTGTGTTACCAGTTGTATGACAGTGTAGGAATTGGATTGGTTTCTGTCAGCTCAGTTATACAACTGTGATCATTTTTCCTTATCAGTTTATATTAAAACAGATCAATATGAAGTGTACTTGTTTTCAAGCATTGTTAATATTTTTTAATAAAGCGTATTTAAAACATAAGCTTGTTAATAATGTAAGAAGTCTATGAAATTTTGTTTCTCATGAACTTGGATTTTAGTGGTAATAGTTTATCTGTGTCTTTAATTTTCGATTAAATTTTCTTTCTTCTTTTTAGGTGCAACACAAGAAAACCTTCTTTTATTTAGAACAGTTAATCCTAAAACATAATATACATATAAACTGCATTAATATAAAAACAACAAATGGTAAGTTTCTTTAAATTATGTACTCATAAAAAGAATGCATGGTACTTTCCAGTTATCCACCCAATTTGCCCAAAAAGTCACCAATGTGAGATGCAAAAGACAACAGCCATTTTCAAAAATGGAAGTACACTAAGAATTGCAGAAAATAGCAACCAATTAACAAAGAAAAGAAAGAAATATCCATAATAAAGCACCCTCACTGTGTACCCAGCAATCTCTTGTAGTTTCAAAAAACATCAAAGAACTGCAGAAACTTGGTAGTGTAGTGTGTGCACTGTGCTTTCCCCATATATACAGCAATATGATTTCACTTAAAATAAATTAGAATTGCCCATGTTTTTCCTTGTGCACAATTATGTTTTTGCTTTAAAAACATCAGAGAGCGCTTTTAGCCAAAATGCCTCATTTCTGAAGAAATACAACACTTTCTTTCTCATTAACCAGCAAACTCCACCATCCCATTATCACTTTTTATAAGAAAAGAAAGACACCCAGACAGTATAGTGGTTAGGGAAGCCTACTTACGGTACCAAAGGTTCTGGTTTCGAATCCTGGAGAAGACATTCCTGGAGGTTCGAAGATTTTTGTAAATGTAATAGTGTTGGTACAGCATGGAGGTACTTTAAATATTTGGTAAGTCCTCTCGTGTGGATTAGTGGAATGAGAAAGGGGTGGGAGACTCCCGGAGACCTGTCCCTCAAAATTGGGATGGAAAGTATAAGTCCAACCTCTCTTTGGTGTAGGCTCTGGCAACCATTGTTTCATGTAATGTGGACAAGAAAAGAAATGCACAAACTCACCAAACACTGACCAGAAAAATAACCATCAAGTTTTAAAAGCCAAAATCTGCCTTCTTGCACATACATCAATTGCTGTGTAAATTACTTTTTTGCAATGTCATAAATTGCCTGTCTTGGCAGCATTAGGATTGTTTGGTGAATGCTTTTCTGGGCTGAACGGATAATCAGAAAGTACTGAATGCATTTTAAATGTAAATTTTAATAATTTAATAATTTCATTTGTAGATGGCCTAGACTTTTTTTATGGTAAAAGAGATGATGCTCGGAAACTTGTCGACTTTTTTACTGCAGTTGTACCTTGCAAGTATGTATTATTTATTGTTTTTATCTTTAATAAATGTGACATTTTGAAAAACATTGCATGTGCCTAAACTCATTTTAAAAAATTGCTAATTTTTTCTTTTCATAAAATGTTTAATTATTAAGATTAATTTAGTATGGGATTTGATTATAAGAATTGGGCATAGCTAAGCACTGATACCAGTTTAAGAAGAAAAAGTTGTGGAGAATATTAATAGGTGATTCTTTTTTACCATATAATATGAGTTTGCCAGCTGCAGCCAAAAACATCGCAGTTCTAAAACATTGTGGTCAAAAATAAAGCGGCTCAAAACTTTGCAGTTTAAAAACATCATTGTCAAAAATATTGCGGTAAAAAATAAAATACTTACAAATAATCGCATGACGATAACATCACACACATGTGTTTTTGAAATCCCATACTGACATATTATGTATCTGACTTTCGTCATAACTAACAAATTGACATCCAAAAAATTGATTGTATACTGTACATGAAAATGTTAACAACACTAAGAATAAATAGAAACAAAATGTAAACAATATCAGATTAACAAATATGAAAGAAAATAATTTAATCATTAAATGAGCAATTTTCATAGAGTTAAACGCATGAAGTTATTAATCTTCCTTTTTCTAAGCATTTTTAGACTGTATTTTTTATAAAAAATTATCAGTAAAACTTTATAAGAAAGGTTAATTTATTAATGACCTTTGTTAATTAACTACGTAAATTTAAAATTCTATTAAGTTATGAAAGTTGCATTAGCTTTCCACTCATTTTCAATTTTTAAATGCTTAAGTTTCCTTCTTATTTTTCAACAAAAATTTATTAATTTGTTTAAAAATATGAAATATAGAAGTAAAAAAAAACCTTTATCCTTCTTGCACTCCCAGATCATTATACGAACATATATTTACAACTTTTAAAACTTGAAAACGCATGTGTACAATGTTATTATCATGTGATGATTTGTGAGTATTTTATTTTTTACCATAATATTTTAGACGACAATGTTTTTGAACCACCTTATTTTTGACCATGATATTTTGTACCACAATGTTTTCTATTTGCTTTCTTTTCTCCCATGATGTTTTGTACTACAAAATTTTCGCCTTGCATTGTTTTCTCTGCGACGTTTTCGTCCGCAATGTTTTCGGCAGACACCGAGTTTGCCAGTATATGAATGGTTAAAGCCATGAAACTGTGTACTGTGTTCTGTTTTGCAATGGTTGAACAGGTGTTAATTACATGAAATTTTCCTCTTGTGCTATATAAAGTTGGAGTAAATGGTGTCCTTTAGTCTGTAGAGACATTAGGTATTTTTTTGGAAGCCGGAGAGATGAAAAATTAGCAACCGCCTTTGCCGGGAATTGAACCGCGGACCTCCGGAATACCGGTCCAGTGTGCAGAACCACGAAGGCACGGAAGGAAAGTGGGAGAAATACCTTATAAGTCTTTTATGGAGGCATCCTTTCCCTTAAACACATCCTTCAGCAAGTTGGCAACCTTTTTTTGGCTGCAGCAAAAATCAATCAAAATGCAGATCAGTGGTATTTTCATTTTAGAACTGTCTTTTTTTATGAGTAATAAAATAAATTTTATTGAGAAACTAATTACAATGTATTTTAAGCATAAAAATTAAAATTATAATTATTATAAAGCTGAACATAACTGAATGAACATTATTTTTCCATTCAATATCAAATCATTGGCTTTCCTGATCCTGAACTTGTGATGTCAGTGTAGTCAAGTCTGGGTTATTACTAGTTGACTTGAGGCAAATACAGCATCTAAATTTTGGGTAGTTAAGCTCACCTTTATAAGTGGCAAATTTGTAAATATTTGTTCACCTTTGTAAGTGGAACTGAATGCAGGCAAAATTTCAAAACCAATTTTTTGGAATTATGGATTGGCGTCAGCAAACTTATCCTTGAAATTACATTGCAATATATATATATATATATTTTTTTTTTTTGGAAAGTAAAAATGCATGTTTGTAATAAAAAACTCTTTATTTATTTTCAATGCATTTTTTTATGTATTCAAGTGTTCAATTCATATTTGTTTTGCAATTTATTATTGTATATATTATATTTTATTTTTGGAACTCGAGTGTGTCACTTGAAATTATAAAATGGGCCATAATCCAGTGTGAATATTTTTTTTAAGTTATTGTAGAATATTTTAAGACTAGTGATTCAATTTGTGTAGCTAAGAATTATTTATTTTTCTGTTTACAGGTATGAGACTTCACAGCAATTAATTTCTCATGATGTTCACAACAACACTTATGATTATAAATTTACATTTTCAGTAGAAATAGTTCCAGTGTGCAAGGTTTGTTTTTCAGTAATTAAAAATATTTTAATCCTGTTTTGCTTTTTACTGTGTTAAATAAACTGCATAAAGATGCATTGAAAAAGTAGATCTATTGAGAAAGAAGATCTATTTTGTAATCTTACAGTAATTATTGATGTCTAATTTAAGTAATAAATCTACATGCTAACAGTCAAAGTAACTTGAAAGTAATCATGGGAAAGAGTCTTTCTCCATTGTTATTCTAACAAATACTGAAACGCAACTTAAAATCCTACAATAAAAAAAAAAAGAAAGGAAAAAATAAGGTTGATTTAATTTTGCTTTCTCTTATAATGTTCACTGCATGGCTAAGTAATTCAGTGGATAATATGATAAAATAGTTAAGTATATTTTCTTGAAGGAACTGAATTGATCTCATGCATTTTTTAATAATTGTGAGATTAGTTTTAAGACTTTTCAAAAACTCTGAACTATTTCAAGCAAGCTACAAGAATTTAATTTTTCTCGTGCTAAAATTGAGAAACAAATTTATATTACCAAAGTTTCTGTAAATCAGATAAAAGCTGAGAGTATTATAAGCAGGGTTCATAATGGTTCTTAATTTCAGATAAAATTTCAAAAGGCCCTTAATTTTGCACACCAAACATATCTGTTCCTTTTCTCTGACTGCCAACCTGAGTTTGGATTAGCATTTTGGATAAGAGGTTCTTAGGCTTAAGCTATGACTTGTGGCCGTTCTTCAACTTAGCAAATGCATGACCTCCATAAAAGTCAAGCTTCCATCCATGATTTGTTATATATCAATATGGAAATTCTTCAAGAGTATAAACAAAAAAAAACTATATGAATAAGGCACTCAAAAAAGAGAAATGGTATTCTGAAAATATTTGCCTATGTTATCTAAAACTTGAGATTGCCCCATTTTTATGTGTACACTTTAATTGCTTGATCTTCAAAACACTAGTAATAATGAATTACATGTTGAGGTAATTCTTGTATTGCTAAGCAAAAAATTTCTTACTTCTGAAGAAGAAGAACCCATGTCTGATCGCCCTTGAAATGGATAGTTTTTTTCGAAATTTATGCCAAAATAAGGTGTTTTTTTTCCCTCCCCATAATATTTGTTCTCTTTCTCTTCCATTTGAATTTTGGAAAGTTGATAAAGAAAAGTAAACATATATAGTAAATAAGCTAAAATATCTGGAAAAATTCCATATAAAAATTGTGCATACGTATTTTGTAGTACAGTCAAAAGTCTTTAATCAGGACTCGTCGGCACTTCGGCGATTCTGGATTATCGGTTTTTCCGGATTTATAGATCATCGATTTAAATCTGGTGAGATGGCATGCAGAAATTATAAAATTAAAAATATGAAACCGTAATTTATGAAATAAAGAGCAGTTATGATCTAAAGGGTATCAAAATTTACAAAAAAAGCTTAATATTTATTTACTTTATTAAACATTTACTTCAACACGCGCGTGCGTAAAGCATACATTGCGCATAGTCGAAATTAGGAAATTGCAACCAGAAAACTATTTGATGTGTATTCGTGATATTTATAATGGCGAGGAATTTGATTTAAATCATATCAAAGACGAAGTACATCGAGATGAAATACTACATTTAGTAAGGAATTATAAGCCGAATAAAATAAAAAACATTTGCCCTGAAGATAAGGATAGTGCTGACAGATCAACTTCCAATTCATTGTGCGCCGCGATGTCTCCCCCGCCTTCCACACAGAGCAGCGTGAAATTGATAAACAGATTTCGGAATGGTTAGAAAAACAAAGGATTATGCCTTTATCCACTTTTTGTTTGATGGACATCGAAACATGCTTTTGCTTTGTAGATAGATCCTTTGGCAGCTCCAGAATCGGAAATTCTATTTGACATAATCGAAAGTTCAAGCTTACTTTTATAAAATTGCTCTAACAGTCTGCGAAAAATAATGAGCCGGATCCAATTGGAAGATTAAGGTGCAACATTAACTGAAATGGATAATTAGATAATTTTAGCTTATCTTGTACCATCCGTTATACATTAAACACACATGCGTAAACGTATTATGCACGTACACATATGCACATGCATAAAGGTATTACGTGCATGCGTAATCGCCTATGCGCATGCGTCAACGCATGCGCAGAAAGTTTCTAGCTTTGAGGTCCGGATTATAGATCATTCCAGATTATGGGTATCCGGATTAACGACTTTTGACTGTATTATGGATGTTTATAAATTTTAATCTGTACCTGATTTAATATCTTTTTAAAACTCATGTAATAAATTGTAGGTGGAATTATCTGTTATATCATATTTTTTTAGTTATGATATTTTTTATTAAACAGCTTTTAAAAAATAAAAGAATTTTTTAATTGTGACTGTTATAAATGTAAATTTTGAATATTTAAAGAAATTATGCTCCTCATTTACTGTTACTTAATTGATAGTATTCAGAGAGTTTGTTTTATTCTCTAATTTGTTTTACAGTCATGTTAAATACAGTTGTTTAATAATAAAACATATTATATATACTTGTTTTATTCAAATTTAGTTGCATAAGTAATTACTTTGATTTATTCAGTTCCCCATTTGCTGCTAGGTTCTTAACTTTTTTCATTAATAGTACTTAAAAATTCTTAATTTGTATGTACAGGAGTGCATTTGAACCCCAGTAGACTTGAAAGATTAATTTTCAAAACCCCATCAATCTTAGTATCTGCTGATATATGCTTAAAAGATTTAGATTAAACAGTTTGAAAAGCTGTTTTTTTGAGGGGGGGGTCTGTTATGTTTAAAAATACCAAACTATAATGGATTTTCTATAATTCTGACTGAATTCTACTTTCTGTTTCAAAATTACAAATGTGATGAGAATTGCAGTGGGAAATGCCAGATTTAAATTGCATGGCTGTTTTATGCAAGCAGTGAACAGTCAAAGATCAAACCTTACGTGTGTGCTAGCACAATTATTATGTCTTAACTGTTGTATGAACATCATAAGCACATGTTATATAAGCTATGTCAAGCTTTATTACATTGCTTGCTTGCTGTAGCTAAAATCGTGTGTGTGTATGATTCTTGGGTGTATTTTTAGTAAAAACTGTTCATATTGTTATTGTTTTGTTAGTTATTAATGGTAGTTCAGATTACCATATGAATTCTTAAAAACTGGGTAAAAATTCACAATATTCTACGTAGAGAATGTTGAGAGAGTAGGGCTTGGGGAGCATTCACATGATGTTGTAGCCATCATTGTTGTTATAATCCTAAGGCATAAAAATCATTAGCTCCATTCACATCTAAGCTGGAGCTACTCAATAAGGGTAAAGTTGCGCATTAATAAATGTATAGCTGACTCAGAAAAATTGTTGACCAAATGGTGGTTCATGTTTGCTTCATTGTGATTAGTCAGTTCTTATATCAGGTTAGTATAAAATTCAACAGTTGAATGTTTAGACATAATCTTTAACCATTTTCCTTAATATAGCAAGGTTTGGTTGCCTACCAATGAAGTTCGACTTATGCCATAAACACTGCATTAGTGATAGCATAAGAAGGTGGAACTAAGCCTGTAATATCACATTTTATTCCCATATGCTTTATTATGTATGATTAACTATTTTCTATTGAGAATAATAATAAGCGATTTGTTATTCTAAATTAACATTAAATTCTTAGTGATGACATAAGAAGGTGGAACTAAGCCTGTGATATCACATTTTATTCCTACATGCTTTATTATGTGTAATTAACTATTTTCTATTGAGAATAATAATCAGCAATTTGTTATTCTAAATTCACATTAAATTCTTTATTTTTAATATGCATGTCTTACATTTAAGCTATGATTTTCCTGAAGATAAACATAAGCAAATGTTTATTTTAAATTAACTTTGTTATAATTCTACCATTTGTTAAAGTAGTAAACACTGTTGCTGTCTCACATTCTTGTAAATCATGTCTAATGTGATACACAGCTTTAATTTTACTATTTCTATAATTCCTAAATGATGTCATATTCTTCTGTCGCAGTCCATATAACATCAGTATCTGATAAAAATCTAATTTCTCCCCACCAGGAAAATAAGATACATAAATATTTATGCTATACATCATACAAACATTTAATTTTCCAATTCTTGAAACTGCAAATCTAGAATAATATACCATGTTACAATTCAAAAAATAGAATATCAAGTGCAGTTATGATAACAGGCATCATGTATAAAGAATAACAATATGAAATTTATCTATGACCTCACCTTTTGTAAAATGCATTGCTAAGATAGAAGGTTAGGAATATTTGCATCACTAATTTTTGATTCTTTCTCCTGTATCTCATGTAATCAGCCAGCTACAAATCAAATTATACTTTGTTGCTTGCTGGGTTATTTTAATAGCTGCACAAAGAACTTAGTGCCACTTAATTTGTAGTTAATTATATGCATTACTTTTAACTGTATTTATCTTGAAATGTTAATACACACATTATTATATCTACATTTCATTATTGCATGTTTTGTAACAGATTTGTGCCTTTTTAAGTTTCTTTTTACAGTGATGTGTTTGAACAATCTTGGTTCTTAAATGGTATTGAATAGTATGTTTCTCATTTAATCAAGTCCCCCTAATGCTACTGTGCAATGTTATTTTGTAATTATAATTCTGTGTTGTTAATGTCTGCATAATGTTCTATACTCTTGTCACTTTAATATTATTAATTATTAGTAATTTATTTGTGAAGTCCTGCTGTTAGGCAATGTTGTTCTTATAATCTTGATAGTTACATATGTATGTGTATGATGTTAGGCTATTTTTCTCTTTCCGTGCATGCAGATGATGTATTGCACAAAAATGAGTTGTCTAATATAGTGTGTTCTTCTGTTTGTTATATATCTAACCTGAGTATCACATTGAATGTACTGGTAACAACTGTTGTGGATATCTCTTCTACTTCCTATTTCTGTAATTTAGTTCCTTTCCATTTTCCTTCCACTGGTGGGCAAGTTCAATTATCATTGTTTCTTCCTGTATTAATCTCAACTGGCTGAACTTGAACCATGCTCCCCTTCCTTGCTAGACCTCCAACCATTAAATAGCTGGCAAGCTTTCCTTCTAATATTATACATATATACTCTCAAAGGCAGTCTCAGAAGACATGCTGTGAGCATATAATTAGTTGTAAAGGTAGTTTTGATGATGAGCTTTTTGCTAAGAGTTAACTAAATCCATTATTTTTTGCCTTTTTATTGGTAAAAAAAAAAAAAAAAAGAAAAATATGAGCATCTATTTCAGAATCCTTGAAATGTAAACTGTGATTTACTTTTGAATGCTTATATCCTTCAAGGTACAGTTTCTATCAGTTAGAAATTACAGTTTATGTGTATACTTTCCAGCAGTTTGAAACCACAATGATCTAGGCAGTGTGTTTCCTTCAATTATCAAGGAAATGCCCAACAATGGTGAGTTTTTGAAGCAATCGGAAGTAGTTTATGTTTTATTGGAAAGGAAGGCTTCATTATCTTTTATGCAATACATGGTATTGTTTCTCAGAAACTTGTCTTGTTGATATTTACCAATTAGAAACTGGATGTACAGCTTTCTAGTTTACTGTTTTGATAAGAAAATTCTTACTATTCCTTAAATTAATGTAGCAGGGCCCAATATTTCAAGATTTCAAGATAAATGGAGAAAATTCAGCAAAGTAGTATTGAGTATTTCATTAGTACTTCACAGCAATGCACTGATAAAAAAAATTTCAACATTGTATAAAAGAACCAAATCCAGTTGGAGCCCACTTTATCTTCTGACACACTGAAGATGCTTCTTGTGCAGAAAGTGAAATCCTTTACTCACAACACTGTGAAATAATAATATAAATAAATAATACACAATAAGTTTAGCTGTGTAGAGTTGGCTGCAGCAGAACATGTAAAAAGGTTAACCTTATCAGGTTAGGGACAGTACCATGGCAAAATGTATCTTAATGTTTTTAATCATTTATCATTTCTTCTGAAAAATTATAAGTAATATGCCTTTTACATAGTTTAATATCCAATGTATGCTGTTGAATCCTTTCCTTTCAGTTTGAGAAGTACCTAAGTGTAATGATTATAATTCAATTAAATATTACTAATAGCCATTTGCAGAAATTGGTATCTCTGTGTTCATGGCATGTTTGGTGGTTTACATGTTTTTTTTTTTTTTTTTTTTTTTTTTTTAAGTAAAGAAAGAAATGAAAAGGTAATTTAGCCAGTGTCTTATAATCTATTGGTGGCCATGCTGTCAAAGCTGTAAGAATTGGTACATAGCTCTGAGTCAATTTCCCAGCAGTTGAAAAGGCTGCATAGAGATTTTTTTAGGTCTCCTTTCTCATATACAATGTAAATTCAACCAGTTTTCTTTCAGAAATCTTTAGTTAAAGGCATCACATTCCTTAGTCAGATAGCCGTAATGTGCTTTGACATAATTAAATAATTCAGCTGAATTCAGTATCTTATCTTTTATAAAGCCATTGATCCCAATGTTCTATTTGCACTAGATATTTTTATTCCTTCTGTAATATTCTGTTCTTAAACATTGTGTAATATTTATGAAGAAAATTGCAGTATTCCAGAGTAATGATTAATAGATGCATATGAATGTAATAATTATACAGATTTTTTAAAAAATTATTTATTTATTTAGAATGATGTGGTGTGCTTACCCATTTCCTTAGCGCGGATGTTAGGAAATATAGGACAAATATGTGTTTGTCACAGAGTAACAAACTCAATCTACCTAATTGATCCTTGCACTCTTCAAAGTATGTTATTTTTTATATGTGCTTTTCTTTTGAAGTATCTCTTAATTATATTGTAAATTAATAAATCAGTTAACTTGCTAATTTTAAATTAATGAAATCTTTAAAAAAAATCAGGATATTTTTTCTGAAAATTTATTTGAATTCATCCTTAAGTTAAATACATTAATATGTTAGATAATTCCAGTAAGAATTTTTTTTATTATTATTTCTCTTGCTTTTACCTATATATTCATTATCATGTAAATTGCTTCTTAAATTAGCTAAAGCTTTTAGGCAAAATTTGTGTGCATTATTTATAATGCTGTAAATAAGTTTTATTGGTTCATTTAAAATTCTATATTAAACATAAAAGAAGTTTATACAAAATATTTTCATAAAATTTGTTTAACCCGGGAGAAGTCGTGCGGGGCCCATGCGTCGGAAATCAACAATCCTGACCGGAAATATTTCATGTTAACGAATCATCCTTCTGGTGTCCTCCTGTCTGACACTAACCTTGGAATGTATATTGTTATTTTTGCTTGTTTTTCTTTTCTGTGAGAGAAGCAATCATTTCTTGGAATCCATGAGGGAATGGGTGTGACTCGGTCACCCCGTGCGACCGTTACTGCTTCAAAATTTTTTATTAGTAGCAGTTTAGCTTCGCGCTCTTGAGTGTTTCCGTTGTTAGTCTGTTGGATTATTTGTTAAATAATGACTTATAAACGTAAATTTGCCGAATATGAAAAAGAGAGGGAACATTTGAGAACTCTATTAGATGAAGTTGAGTCTTCTGAAGAAGAAATTGATCAAGATAGTGAAAATGAATCTGATGAAGAAATATAGAGTTCTTACGACAGCGAAAGTGAATTTGAGCAGAATAATGAAGACGACGGAAATCCTAATTTAGTAAAAAGTATTTTTATTAGCAAAAATAACTCAGTTTGGCTGAAAGGAAAACCAAATCAAAAAAGGAAAATGTCTTCTCAAAATATAATAACTCATTTACCAGGATTAAAAGGAACTACACATAATATAACAAAGCCTCTAGAAAGTTAGGAATTTTTTTTTAATGCTGAAATGATACGATTCATTGTCAAGTGTATAAATAGTTATATTGAAAAAATATCAGTAAATTACACCAGAGATCAAGATGCCAAAACGACAAATGATGGGGAAATTACAGCACTTTTTGGGCTTTTATATCTGTGCCGCTTGCATAAATCGTCACATACAAATACGCAAGATTTGTGGGCTACTGATAGATCAGGCATTGAAATTTTACGGAACACAATGTCATATAAAAGATTTAATTTTCTTCTCAGGTGTTTACGGTTAGACAATGTGACCAATCGTGAAGTCGCAAAAAATTGAACAAACTGGCGGCTGTGAGAGAATTTTTTGCCGATTTCAACGAAAATGGCCAAAAGATATACATTGTTAGTTAATATGTTACTATCGCCGAAAAATTGGAGAAATTTTGAGGGCGGTGTTTTTTTCGTCAATATATACCCAGCAAACCAGCGAAATATGGAATAAAAATATATGCCTTAGTAGATTCAAGAAAATTTTACAGCTGTAACATGGAGATATATACAGGACAACAGCCGGAAGGTCCCTTTAGAGTTGAAAATTCACCATTTGAAATTACAAAACGCCTATGCACCCCTTTGTTTCGATCAGGCAGAAACGTAACAATGGATAATTGGTATACGAGTTATCCTCTAGCAAAAGAACTTTTTTCAAAGAAGCTAACTATTGTAGAACCCTGAAGAGAAACAAAGCTGAAATTCCCACCGAGTTCATCCAAACAAAAACTAGAAAAGTTTATTCTTCTATGTTTGGGTTCCAAAAGAACGTGACACTAGTATCGTATGTGCCTAAAAAATCAAAATGTGTAATTTTGTTATCTACAATGCATCGCAATGATGCCATTGATGAAATTGATGATACCAAGAAACCAGAAATAATTCACTTTTATAATGCAACAAAAGGTGGTGTAGAACAAAGTTGATGAAATGTCATGATTATATTCGACAGCTCGAAAAACCAACAGATGGCCGATGGTTGTTTTTTATTGTGTGTTGAACGTCACTGTAATAAATGCCCAAGTTGCATTATTGTCAGCAAAGACCCTTCCCTTACAATCTCGAAATAGGAGGAAATTCCTAAAAAATTTGGCTATATCTCTTATATAGCCCCACATAGAGATAAGAAAAAATATGCCTATGCTTCCCAAAGTGCTTCGTGAAAGCATCAATAATGCGACTTCTAGTGGATCAGAAGAACGCCCATCAAAGAAACCAAAACTCGAAAAAGGCCGATGTGCTATGTGTCCAAGGTCCAAAGACAATAAAACTACAATTTCTTGCAAAATATGTGATAATTTTTCATGTAAAATTCATTCTTCATATTTGCCAGAAGTGTATGTCAGCCTCTGATCCCTGATTAGTTATGTAATTATTTTTAATGGAATTTTTTCTTAAATATTGAAATAAGTTTTCTTAAGTAAAGAAGTATAGTTTCTCAATTCAATATTGCAATTATTGTTTATAATCAAATGATTTCTAAAAACTTTATAACACATTTTCCTAATGAAACTGATTGGGGTGACCAAGTCACCCCGTGTTGGGTGCTCGCCTTCTGCCGGGTTAAAGACTTTTATCATGGCACTAAAAATAGTAGCTGAGATTTTTAATATACTCTTTTTAAAAACCAATCGTTAAAATTTTCTAGCTGCTGATGTTTCAAATCAACAATACTGGAGAACACCTTTTCATGCTATAGGCTCCTTAAAAGAATTCACAGAATATACTGTAATGGACACAGAATATATTTTAGATTCTGAGAGGCGAACATTTGCTGGCCAAGGTCCATTATCTCATAAGGTGAGTAAGTCTTTATGATAATGCACACAGAAATGTTTCTCTGGTAATTCTTCATTCGCTGAGTAGGCTTTCCAGGCTAGAATGTGCTTACAAAATACAGAGTAGTGCAAAAGTCACAGCTAATATATATATATTAATGTATTTCTTACTGACATTATTTTATAGCTTACAGTGCTTGAATATGAATAATCAATATCATAGGTCTGCTTTAAAAAAATTGTGTTCAAATGTGACATTCTTCAAACGCCATGCACAGGTGATTCAAGTCCATTCGGTCATGTGCTTTTTGGAGGGTGCTCGTAGTGATAGCATGACTTGTTGCTATAATGCACTGCTCAAGGTGATGCAATCTTATGATCTTCTCACTGTATATTTTGACTTTCATATGAGACCGCACTGGGAAAAATCCACTGCAGTAGGATCAGGTGAATGCAGTGGCTGCTTGATAGGATGTCTGTGTCAAACCACTGCTGCATATCAGTCCCAGAGGGCTCATATCCTGCTGGAAGAAGATAGGGATAGTTCCATCAGGATTGGCCACTAAGGGGTATAACAGAATATCCCAGCATGTCTAAGTACCTTTCCATGTTGAGGTTTTCATTGATGAATATTTGTCCAATTAATGCTCACGTCCCGAATTCCACAACCATACTTTTTCACTGCTTGCTGCTTTGCTATCTATAGTCCATTGTAGATCACCCTTATTCTAATATTGCATGTTTTGCCTATTGAACTCTACGCTAAAGTAAAACACAGCCTTAACTGAGAAAAGAATGGTTCTTATGAAATCCGGATCTCCAACCAGCATACCAGCCATTCTAACAACCCACTCACGGAAGTAGAGTTTGCGATTAGGATAATCCTCAGTCATATGATAGAGCATTTACATCCTGCAGAGATGTCATTTATTCGCTTTGAGTATTTGCTGGATGCTCTGATGGCTTAAACCATAAACACAATGATAAATCTCGATGTCTGTTTATAAATTGCTATGTTTGGACGTCCATTTCTCCTGTCTTCTACACTACCCATTTCTTTAAACTTAAGTATCAACTTAGGAATGGGATCATGATCCAGTTGTTGTTTGTTGAACTTCTGGGCAATGTGCTGCATCAGATTTTTGCCCATATGAAGAATTATTCCAGTTCTTTCCTGAATCATCATTAGCATCTTTCAGACTGGTAGGGGAGGGAAAGAATTAGAACCTAGGTATGTAAAAGAAAACGCAACATCAATTATATGGTGGTTTTTGCAGCACCTAGTACAGCTGCCTATTTATTCTCTTTGTCTTGAATGTTGAATGAAATCCATTCAGTCTGCACTAGGTGAATAGCTATTTGCTATATGGTTCACAGGTCTTGCCTCAATATACATGCAAGTTGCTGCATTAAAAAAAATATTCAACTTTGTAATGAAATTGCAGTCAATTCTTATTTATGTGAGAGTTGAATTATCATAGCACTCTCTCAAAATATAAGTTTGTTTAGTGTGTAGTGAGGGAAAAATCAGTAAGTGTAAGTGAAAAATGAAAAATCAGTGAGTAGTAGTGATGGAAAAATCAGTAGTGCAACAATGCAAAAGTGAAAAGACTTTGTGGACTAACAGCAATGATAGCAGGTAATGTCATAGTAGTGTTTGGACATTGTTTTCTCCACAATAGTTAATTTTACAAAATGTGGACTGTGTAAATGTTGTTAAATTATATATAAAAAGTAAATGCTTCAGTTGTAAAAATAAATTCATTGCTCAATTGCTAATTTTCTGAATCCTGATAAAATATATAAAAGGAATCTGAAAGAAACAAACAGCATGTGCACTAGAAAATAAGGAAGAAACAGGAAGAGAAAGAATGTTGGATACTGATCTCATTTTTATAACCAGATAAACTCATCCTCCAAACTTAATATTTAAAAATGTAGGTAGTTGTGTATAGTATTTTCTCTTAATTATAATGTATGTTATTTCTTTTTCTTATGGTTCTTTTAGCTGATTTCAGATTAATCATGATTTTGAGTTAACTGTGAACATCGCCTTTGGTATCACTGTGGTTAATCAGAAGTTGACTGTATTTGCATACATAAAATTATGGTATATTTTAACTTTTCTAGCATCTTGCAAATATTATATGTATGTATACAAAATAAATATTTACAAACATTTTTATAATTTGTTTTGTACAAAACTAAACTTTAAATTTCTTTTTCCAGCATGTATTAGCAGACGCTTGGGTTGTACGTTCACGTGAACTTGGCCTAACAGAAGACTTCATTCACACTCGTACACATCTAGGCCATATATTGAAACCTGGTGATTCAGTTTTAGGGTAATCTCTCTCTCTTTCATATTTTAATGTCACTGTTCTAGGAATAGTTTTAAAAATCACTAGCCAGTGTATTAAAAGTTTTCAGAGCCTACTTTTTAAAAAATCCATGTTGTTACCCAAAACTTAAGAGAAATTCATTTCAATTTTAACAATTAAAATATATTAATGTTTGTTTGCATGTAAAATAATTCACCATACATTTGCATCTCTAAAAATACTTCTAGCTGTATTTTTCGTATTAAGTCTGAATACAAGCTAATCTTATACTGAGCTTGATGTCATATTGGATATTACCTGTTGAGAAAGGTTTTAATTTTGATTTGAAATGTTACTAAAATCATACTGTTTACGTTTTATATAATGTTTATTTTGGTCATATATAGATTGTTATTATATTGTAATCTGAATGTCTTGCACAGTACTGTTATGTAGAACATAGTTTCCCAATGTAGGTGATGGGGAGTTCTTGTGGGCATTGCTGAGGGAACATTGAGGAGAAAATGGGTGTAAAGCATATCTGAAAACATTGCAAAATCATACTAATTCATGATGTACCTTTCATGCATTCTGGTTTGTTTAAGTTTTATGTATGTAAAATTCTTTTTTTTTTTTTTTTTTTTTTTTTAATTTTTTTTATTTTAAGAAGATGCTAAAAGTGCAAATTATAACCATGACAATAAATCTATATCTGCAGTGATATATATTGCATATTAATTTGCATGTTCTTTTGACAAGTGCCATTGCTCATGCTGTAGAAATCTCTCCATATTTTTTATGTTCATTACTGTAACTATAAATATGTGAGAAGTCTTTAATAGTCCTTGTTTCTGAATTTTGTGACAGTTTTCATTTACTAGTTCGATGCAGTGCTATTGCAAAAAACATTTAAAATTGATATCATAGTTTCAATGTTATGGGAACATTGAACAAAATTGAAGGAGGCACTGAAAAAGCGAGTCTGGATAAGCTAAGAAACGTTGGACATTCTGATGCTCATATCATTACCATATGTGCACTTTTGTACTTTTACTTTTACACAAAGATCTTTAAGTATATATATTGCTTTGTTGAATTCTGGTTATTTGAGGCAATATGGATTGATTGTATTTACAAACTGTTCTATTTAGCATAACAAATTATGGGTGAAAAAGATTTCCAGTAAGCGAAGAGAAGTTAAGAATAACATTGTATGTTATTTTTGGTATGTTTAATTATGACTTGTCTCATATATAAAATAATATAATAATAATGTGACATATATAAAAAGATGAACATGAATGATTTTATAATAAATGCTCTTTTTAAACTTTATCCAAAAATGCTTTAAAATTCTCTCCTTCACAGCAGGAACCTTAGTTGCTTTACTGTATTCAAATATCCCTATCTAATCTCGACAGCTTTATATCAGATAATATAAACATTTGTTTAACTAAGATTCTACTATATATGAAATTTAATTGCATTTATTAGATGTATAAACTAATTTGAAGCTTTTTATTTGTTGTGTATTGCTAAAGACGGGGAGAGTCTAGAAAATAATCTCTATGCATTTGTGCTTATTATAACATTTGCTATTAATCTGTTACTTTAAGACATTTTTTAGGACCCGTCTATTCAAAAGTAGCATGCTAAAGACAGGTGGTCATATATTAATTTGTATATCTAATATTTGAAAAAGTATGCTGGTGTGCATTATATTAAATTGTAAATTTTATCTGATGTTTCAGAAACTGAAGTGCATCTTAAATTTTATTTATACAGGTTAGATTTATCAACTATTAACATAAATAATAAAGACTTCAATAAGTTAAATAAAGAAGCTCTTCCTGATGTAGTAAGTACCTTTTTAAATGATTTGTTTTCAGGATTTTGTAATTCAAATAATGTTCTTGTATTGTTAATTCTATTAATAATTAGAATTATTATAAGGCTTAGACTACAGTTTTTGTTTTTTCCCCATTCAGAAATTATATGCCTAGGGTAATTAGAAATAGAATTTTTTTAGATGTTGAATTGTAATGTTTATAAAAGAAAATATTAGCTGATTTCAATATGTTAGTATATGTATTTTATATGATAAAAAGAACATTGCTCTTATTTTGTAAGTTAATTAAATGTCATAGCAATATAGTTAATAGGTAATTGTTAATGTAAAAAAATTAAATTTAAATTTCCTCAGCTTTTATAGAGTCTACAAAACCTTTTATGAGCTAAAATGACATAAAATGAAGACACAGTTTTCATAAATTTACTTGAAGAAAACTTTTAAACATTCACACTTTCTAAATATTTATTCAAATCATGGCAAGTAATACATGAAACCCAAAATAGTACTAACATGTACTAAAAATAAATATGGTGTAAAAAATGCAGCCTTTATTAACCCCTTAGCGTACGATTTAGATTCGAAGATGTTGGGCCGAAATTGTATACAAGCTCGCGCAGCGTTCGGGACATTTGCATGACTTGTGTAACACGCTAATCCGGGCAATCGTAAACATGATGAATTATGTAATTTACGAAGAGAAAGTATAGGCAAATAATTATTGATGATACATCCGATGACGATCAACTACCAGAGTCCAGGCTTTGGAAAGAAATAAGAAATAGTCCAAAAATTTGGGACTATACGATGACTCCTGGCATAAGAGAGGAAGCCTTATGTCAATTAGGAGAAAGTAGAGGAGAATTTGATATATTTAAACTAATATTATATGATGACATATTTTGAAACAATGTTCTAACCAAAACAAATCAGTATGCAGATCAAGTATGAGAAAATCCACATAGAACACGAGTGTAAAAAGTGTAAATTCCGTTTCATGTACCAGAATGCTTTGAAATATATCATATTGTTGCAGATTACTAATTTTGTATTTTGGAGTTTTGTATAAAAAAAACATTTTGTGATACTTGCGTCTACCAGAATTATTGCATCAGATTGTAATTGCGTATCAAATATTCCACGTAATATTCACTTCTGGCCCGACCATCGTACGCAGGTTATGCCCGTGAAAGCTAGGTTTGGCCCGACCATCGTATGCGGGTTATGCCTGTCATTTTAGATTAAGGGGTTAAATACATAGTTTTACTGCCAGGAATGTTGGCCAAGTGATTAAGACTTCCGAATACTGGTAGTTCAGCCTAGCCTTCAAACCCAGCCAAACTGGTGGCAGCATGGCTGGTTTTCCTCTTGCCTAATGTGAATATGAGCCAGTTTCCCTCAGAAAGTCCTCCATAAAGGCATTCTTCCTCTAAGGCAAATAGCCCTGATGGCTTTATCATATTCAAATAACCTAACGTAACCTTGAAAGCAAAATAACACTAGAGGCTCAAAAGTGATTTTTTTATCAAAGTTTGTAGTATAGAAGATTCAGAATTGGGAGAGTCAAAGGGGAGATAATTTATAAACATTCTGTGATTTAAAACTCTTAAGATATGAAGGATGCCAATACCTTCATTTTTTTTTAACCCGCATACTTTGATATCAAAATTTGAAGCTTATTATCTGCTGTGGCTGATTTAAAAGCTTGCAGTACAACAGTATACTTTACTGCTTACATTTATGTATACTTCAGATGTAGAGTATTTTTGTTCATTTCTTTGTAAACGTCTTACCTTTTGAAAATCACAAGCATTATGTTTGCCTTTCTGACTTTTTTATAAAGTGCGAGTTATTTCTTTCAGTTAATGAAAGGGGTCTTAAAAATGTAATTCCATAAAGTATCTATAATTGTTAATAGTTTTATGAATTTTTTCCTTTTGTAGTGATCCATTCAATAATTTAGTTTTCTTATTTTACAGAAATAATATGCAGTAAGATAATAAAAAACTTTAGATGTTTTATTTCCTTTTCTTTTTAACTTCCTTCTTGATTTCTTACCTTATATAATATGTTTACTGCTAAGCGACATTTTCAAAAACGGTTCCACCATGCCAATAAATTTTAATTAATTAATTGTAAAATAAAGATACAAAACATGTATTCATGGGAAAGATATTGAATTTAGATAATTATGTTGTATGATTATGAGTTATGTCGTAGTCTAATTTGGGGATAAAATGTTTCATGACAGCACCAACTACGAGTATACTCGCAATGAGTATATTTTTAGTTGGCAGTTGCTTATAATAGACTGATTATTTTTACAACAATTATTATAACAAAGATTATTATAAATTCCTTGATTATTTTTACAGTTCCTATGTTATTCATCTTATATTAATTATAATAAATGTCTTGAATTGCGCCCAATTGTTTTTTTTTTTTTTTTTCCCTCTAGTCCCCAAAGCCAGATACCTTCAAATAACATCAAAATACTATGAGTTTGATTGTATGCAGGGCCAGATTTACATGTAAGCTAGCTACACAAGCTATGGCTTAGGGCCCCCACTTTCTGGGGGGGCCTAAAAACTTTAAATATAGTATAAATAGTACAGTCAAAAGTCTTTAATCAGGAATGATCTATAATCCGGACCTCAAAGCTACAAACTTTCTGCACATGCGTAAACGCATAATGTGTTCATGCATGCACATAAGCGTTTACACATGCGCATACCTTTACGCATGCGCGTTTAATGTATAACGCACGGTATAAGCTAAGCTAAAATTATCTAATTATATATTTCAGTTAATGTTGCAGATTGCGTTGTTCCTTAATCTTCGAATTGGATCCGGCTTATTATTTTTTTGCAGACTGTTAGAGCAATTTGATAAAAGTAAGTTTGAACTTTCGATTATGTCAAAAAGAATTTCCGATTCTGGAGCTGCCAAAGGATCTACAAAGCGAAAGCATGTTTCGATGTCCATCAAACAAAAAGTGGAATTGCTACAAAAAATGGATAAAGGCATATCCTTTGTTTCTCTAACCATTCCGAAACCTATTTATCAATTTCACACTGCTCTGCGGGGGGAGGACGTCGCAGCAAGCAATGAATTGGAAGTTGATCTGTCAGCACTATCCTTATCTTCAGGGCAGATGTTTTTATTTTATTCGGCTTATAATTCCTTACTAAATGTAGTATTTCATCTCGATGTACTCCGTCTTTGATATGATTTAAATCAAATTCCTAGTCATTATAAACCATCACGAGTACACATCAAATAGTTTTCTGGTTGCAATTTTCTAATTTCGACTATGCGTAATGTATGTTGAAAGAAATGTTTAATAAAGTAAACAAATAAATATTAAGCTTTTTTTTTTTGTAAATTTTGATACCCTTTAGGTCATAATTGCTCTTTATCTCATAAATTACGGTTTCATATTTTTTATTTTATAATTTCTGCATGCCATCTTACCAGATTTAAATTGATGATCTATAATCCGGAATCGCCGAAGTCTCGACGAGTCCGGATTAGACTTTTGACTGTATTACAATATATTATAACAGACTTATAAGGGACCCCATCAAGTCTAAATCTGGCTCGGATTGCATGTTGCACATGTAAAACAAAAGCATTCTACAAATTAACTTGTAGCTGGTGCCTAAACATAAACTTTAACCTACGAGAGAACTTGTGGTTGGCAGCTAATATGTTAAATAGGTGACGCTGCTAAAAGTCAAATTACAGCAGGAGGAACAAAAATGTAACTTGGATCATAGTATCAGAACAATTTTAATTTTAAACTAAAATTCTTGCTAAGTAATATGTATTTTCAGTTAAGGTAAAACCATTGCTGAAAGATTATTAAATGTTTACAATTTATTCAAATGCTTTAATAAAAAGCCTAGAATTTGAAATGTTGTGGATAAAATTTTTAAAAAAGAAAGAAAAAATTAATCCTGTTTAGGAAACTTTATAAGATCAACCAGAGAAATCAAGAGGTAAAAAAAATTAATAAAAATATTAGTAGAATCTGAAGAGAATGAAATGTGCATTTTTATATCCTTTGATTCCTCCAATCACTTCTTTTATACACTTTCTCCTCAGATTTAGAAATAATAAAGATATTTTATGGTAATACTTGATTAATCATTATCCTGTGATAAAGATAGGGATTCATTGAAATGAATTATTTGCTTAAACTTGGTGCAATACTTAGCATCATATGAAATGCAGTACTGTAGCATCTTGTATATCATGCATGATACTAAATCTATAACAATTTGCAATGTGCAGCTAAGAGGAAATAATTCCAAGATATTCAGACTAAATAACTTAACACTACCATCTATGACTCTTTTATAACTTGAATTTTTTATAATTTGAAACTGTAAAGAATGTTTTTGTTGTTTTTACTGCATGAAATTTGTGTCCTCACAAAATAGAAAATGTAGTGACTTCCCACTTGCAGGAATTGTTTGCTGCAGTCCTAGTGTATAAATACTGAAAAGCAGAAATATATTTAAAATAATATTGAGCTGTATTTTGAATGATTAAAATAGACTTCTGTGTATTAAATAAGTGCAGAAGTCTCCATATGTCATTAATTTTTGTTGAAAAATATTGCAGCAAATTCCTTCTTTTCTTACCATTTGGTATAACTCTTTTGAACAGTTTGTTTGACATTAAAGGTACTAAAGTGAAACGTGAAATTTCTTTCTCTTTATTATATATATATATATATATATATATATATATATTTATATAAAAAAAATATGAGTACAAACACATTAAAGCTTTCTGTTTTTTGCTTGTCTGTGCATGTTTCAGTTCCTTAGGTGAAGGGAAGGCTGGGATTGGTAATTTTATAGGTAATGGTCAGCCATTGGAGTTGAGCCCAGTCCACACCAATGTGATCATGCATTTGGGTGGAAAGCCGTGAACAGTCAGAAGTGAGCTCAGAGGCAGTATTTTCCGGACGACTGGAGACCACGCGAGTTGATTTAACT